GATTAAAAATTATTTAATTAAAAATTAAATAATAAATTGTATTATCATTTCAAATCATCAGTAAGAAAAAAAATTCGATAATTTGAAACACTTCTTCTGAGCTATAAACTCTCAGTTATATAGTGTTAAAAAATCATGTTAAGAAGGGGAGAAGTCGCTCTCGCCACCTGGCGGTGAAAGTATATGAACTGTGGTATTCTGTATCATTAATAAAAAAACCACGTGAGATCCTATGTAAGATCCCATGTGGAAAATTATATGGGAAATGATATACAATGTCACCTGGGATTTTATATAATTTTCATTTCTATGTAAAATCCTACGTAAGATCCCATGTGGTTTTATTAATGATACAGAATACCACAGTTCATATACTTTCACCGCCAGGTGGCGAGAGCGAATTCTCCCCTTGTTAACATGATTTTTTAACACTATATAACTGAGAGTTTATAGCTCAGAAGAAGTGTTTCAAATTATCGAATTTTTTTTCTTACTGATGATTTGAAATGATAAATACAATTTATTATTTAATTTTTAATTAAATAATTTTTAATCCTTTGAAAATTCTCACAATGGATCCCTAATGTAAACACATATCAAATCTTTTGTGAAATCCTATGTGAAATCTTATATATGAAACATGAGAACCCATATGAAATCCCATATGAAATCCTTTATGGAATCCTTTATGTATTCTCACATAGGAATTCATGTGGATTTTTATGTAGATACACAAACTCAAATTCCCACATGAATTCCTGCTTCAAATCGTGTCCTAAATATACATGTGCTTTTACATGGGATCCCATGTGGATCCCATGTGGATTCTTACGTGGGATCTGGGACTTTATACAGGTTTTTGTATAAGAACCCACGTAAGATCCCATGTGGGTATTTTCAATAGGGTAGAGAGTACAGTATTTATTAAACCTTGTTTAGGTTCGGGTACCCAACACCAAGAGTAGAAATGAAACTAAAGTTACCAACGTTGATTCAACGAAAAAATTAAAAAAAAATTTTTTTCTAAAAAGTTAAGGATACAAATATTTTCTTGTTTATTTTTAACCCAAGTAAACCCTCCGAACCCTAAAATAAAAAAGGTGGGAAAACAGAAGTTGTTATTTTTTTCTCACAGATTTTCCAAAAATCACAAAATTTCAACTAAATTAATAATTGAAGGGCTACATAAAATAAGGGGATGAACAGTTTTGGTTTTGGTTTTTTTTCACGGATTTTCCGAAAATCCGAGAATTTCAAATAAATTAATAATTCCTCGTCTGGGTAGTAATTTTTTTCTTTTGATAATTGTTTATTTTAATATTAGACGCTATTTAAAATAGATTCCAAGTCAAGGAAAGCAGTGATTTTGAATTTTGTCGTGATACGAGTTTTTCAAAAATTTCGAAATTTCAACTTCATTAATAATTCCTCGACTCGGTAGCAATTTTTTTCTTTTGATAATTATTTATTTACATATCACACGCCATTTAAAAATAATTCCAAGTGATTTCAATTCGGGGAAAGCAGTGATTTTGAATTTTTCTGTCGTAGATCTTCTAAAAATCCCGGAATTTCATTTAAAAAAATCATTATCATTGCTTTCCCTGACTTGGAACCACTTGGAATTTTTTTTAGATAGCGTCAGAAGAAAAAAATTGCTACCAAGGCGAGGAATTATTAATTTTCTTGAAAATTGGTGATTTTTGGAAAAAATACGCAAAAAAAATAAAAATCACTGCTTTCCTCGACTTGGATCCTCTTGGAATCTATTTTAAATAGCGTCTAATATTAAAATAAACAATTATCAAAAGAAAAAAATTACTACCAAGGAAAGGAATTATTAATTTACTTGAAATTCTCGAATTTTCTGAAAATCCATGACAGAAAAACCAAAATCACTGTCTTCCCCGACTTGGAACCTTTTGAAATTTTTTTTAAAGGGCTTATCACATTAGAATAAGTAATTATCAGAAGAAAAAAATTGCTACCAAGCCGAGGAATTATTAATTTACTTGACAATTGGTGATTTTTGGAAAATCTGTGAGAAAAAAATAACTTATTTTTCCTTACCTTTTTTTATTTTAGGGTTTGGAGGGTTTACTTGGGTTAAAAATAAACAAGAAAAATTTTTATCCTGAACTTTTTAGAGAACATTTTTTTAAAAATTTTTTCGTTAAATCAACGTTGGTAACTTCAGTTTTATGAGTAGAACGAGTTTTCGGTGCGTGAACCGTGCTTGGGATCTTGACCTAAAGTCACCGATCGATATTGAGTACTGCAACCCAATAATTTACTGTAATTTAATTTACTGAATTATTTTTAAATTTTACTCCGCGCACTACCCTACTAATAGTGACCAGTGTCAGTTTCAATAAATGGAAAATTAATTCATGCAACTTTAAGACTACTTATGTAAAAAATTTTATCAGAATATAATTATAAACGCGTTATAGAAATAAAGACTAATGTATAATAATAATTAATTGACAAATGACTTTTGCTAATAAGGAAACAAATTAATAATATCAAAACGAGCACTTGATTTATTACTACTAGAAACAGTGCAACTGCTTTTCCAATAAGTAAAATCGAATTTCAACTTAAACTGATTTATATAGAACAGAAGTTTCATTGAATTCTGCAAAATTGAGTTTCTCAGAAAGATTTAATAGAAAATTGTCTTATAACATTGACGTTTTAGAAACATTTCTGTTTTTCATTCCATATACTTTTTCTTTTAGTTTTATTTTTTATTGGTATCCTTTTATTAGTATATACGTTACGTATAACTTTGTTTAAAAATGAAATCATTTATTAATTATTTACTATACACGGAGAGAAATTTATAGTAGTGGGTAACATAATTGTGGTTAGGGTGACCATCTTTAATGCTACGTATACAGACAGCTATCTAGATAGTCACCGTTACCATCAATATCATCAGGAGTAACATCTTGGTAGTACGGGGTAGCATAACTATATTTTTTTTAGCATCTGGGATGGTTGGGAGTAGCATAATGATAGTATCGTGTAACATCATCTTTTTAACATCAAAATCTGACTATCCATTTCTCTCAGTGTAAAGTTTGCTTCTTTTTCTATAAAAAAACTAACAATAAATATTAAAAAATTTTTTTAAATTACTATGTGTTGTGCAGAGTCTAATGAAAATACACCATTTGTAACTTTAAGGTGGACACCTTTAACCGTAAAGACTCGAAGACAGCTCACAGCTGCTCGAATAGCTCAGGAATAGCTGTCTAAAAAGTAAGTTGAAAAATTTCTCAATTATACAGTTGTAAAGTGCTTTTTTTTAACTTTTTTTTGCGCTTTTCTCAAAACTACATTTTTCAAGTCGGTGGGCACGATAACTCCAACAGATTTTAACCAACTGACCTCCTCTAAATTTGTACACCATCAAGGCATGTCAAGCGACAAGTGCCTCTCGAAAAATTCTGTATCTCTATTATTTTCAATTTTTTTGAAAATATAATATATATTTTTAAAGCTGATTATATGTAATTTAATTCAATAAAAAGTTGAAAGTTCCAACCCTAATAGTTTTTTTAAAAAATATTTCTTCCTGAATGCCTTATTTTCATGCGGCCAGAGTTGGTCTACACGGAAAAAAAAAGTTCACGAATCTCTCGTGAACTAGTATATCACTTTTGGATGGGACACAAAATTTCAAAATTTTCATTCACTTTTGATTAGAAATGGCGAACGTCAACGAAAAACTGAAACAAAGTTAATGAATTTTTGATGAACTGTTAATGAAGAGTAGTTCGTCAAAAGTAGAGGTACAAGTTCACGAAAAAATCGTGAACTCGCGAGTGTCAGTAGTATGCGCAGTTCGTAATGCGCATCAAATATGGCTGATGAAGCATTCATCATTCAGTCGGTGTCATCGGTGTTTACATTCGGGAAAATTCTTTGATGAAAGTTATCTTTAGAATCAGTGTTTTTTATTACTTAGTGAATATTTTTGTTTGCTAATTTCCTTTGTGAAACAAATAATTCATAAAATGAATTAAAAGTTACGATAAGGGACTTTTTCTACTTTGCACGGTCCTGAGTTTTACAGCAGACAAAGCTAATCGTTTCGTTTGTCGAAGGACAGTGTATCTAGATTTAGCCGTGGCGGTTAGTTGTTAGAAATATTATGTTATAGGGTATAGGTACTAGGTTCGAATCCCGTGAAGCGAATTACGAATTTTAATGGCGATAAAATTGTGTATTCTGTGTAGTTGGGTGCGTAATAGGCGTCAAGTTATCAAATAAAGTGAAATACTATAAAAAAGTAGCGTCTGGAAATTATTTTTTCTTGTTTTTAGCATTTTTTAAAAGTTCACGAATTTTTCGTTAACTTTGACGAAAAGTTCGGAAACCGTACTATGTTTCTAGTGAAGGAGTTGATGAAATTTTGACGAACTGTGTTTGTTGATTTTCAAGAATTTTGTGTCCCATCCAAAAGTGATATACTAGTTCACGAGAGATTCGTGAACTTTTTTTTCCGTGTAAGCTCTTAAACTTTTTTGAAAGTAGAAATAAATTTTTGTATATTAAATTGATTAGTATTGTATAGTTTATTATTATTGTTGTTAATTGTTATTATTAAAATAACAATTCTCAAGTGTTATAATCACAGTTCCACAAAAGAAATATTGCGATATGTTAATTTTATTTTTAAATATGTTTATAATTTTGCCATCCGTAAATCTAAAGAAATTACTTTAAACGATTTTTCTATTATTCCACATTATTCTTCTTTCTTGCTTTAAACAATTTGCATAACGTGTAAATACACGTTTTATAATAAGAATAATTATTCTCATAAGAAATTAATTACTTTTCTTAAATTAAAATAACTTTTACTAGCTGATTTCTCATAATCTTAAAACTTGAGAAAATATTAAATGTAGATAATATACAAAATCTTGTATTAAGTTGCTTTTTCCTCAAGCTAAAATTTATTGGGAAAAATATTTTCTATTTCTTACCCCTTGACGCAATGAGCCGCTGTTAAAACATAACGATCATTAATTAGTGTTCCTCCACAGTAAAATTTATTTAGGTATGAGAGTCTTGCCATCCAGGGGAATTCATTTAATTGAGTTGTCTGACCCCCCACGATTCGAGTTTCATCATTTCTTACTCCACAACCTGAAATAAAAAATTTGGTATAATTAAATCAATTTTAGTTTTATCATTACGTAAGCAAAATTTACTTCTATACTTACTACAAAAACAAGATGTTGAAGGTGATTTTGTTGAGGGTGGCTTATTTCCAAAAGCCCCCATAATAGTTTTTATTATAGTTTTTTCTGTGCCCTGTAAGGTTACAATTTTTGTAAAGTAAAATATTGTTGCTATCACTAGTATCTTTTTAGAGGTAAAATTTTTTTACTATTATCAGCAAATTAAATTAATAATTTGCTCTTAAATAAAAAATAAATAAAATTATAATAATAAAAGAATTATTTATTATATTCTAAACATTTTCAGATAAATTGTAGTACCTATGATTATTAGTAGATTCATTTACAGTCATTAATTATCTCTTAGAACACTATAAAGATTAATTACTTAAAATTTACTCACATTATCATCCTCTGCTAATACAGTTAACACAAACAAATTTACAAAAATGAGAAATTTGCTAACTTTTATTAAAGACATAACTGAATATGAAACCGAACGTTCTTAGTGAATTAAAACATAGAAATTTTATTTTTAATATATTGTTTATATATTTAAATAATTTTTTAACATTTGACTGACACAAATATATTGTTCGTCTTCTTATGCTAAAGATAAGTGTACAAGTGTTTTCTATCAAGGTCCCAAGAATACTGATGATGCATTCACAAAAGTGTTACTTGTTATTTAAAAGGAAAGGAGTCAACGGCTGCTAGCCAACCGGACAGTATCTGACCATTCACGATCACGGTCATGGACACATTTACCACTGTCACTGACCGCGCGATCACAGACATTTATATAGGATTCTCCACTTTTTGTGACTTTTTTTACATAGTGACTATTAATTATTTTATTTTATTATTAATACAATTTAAACATTTCCTTGCATGGAGACTATTAAAAGAACAAATAATTTTACTGTATTGCTTCTTATTTTTAAAATGAATTCAATTTTTTAAAACTATTTAAAAATTAGAGCATTTATTGATTACAATAAAAGTCAATAAAATAAATTAAACAAAATAGGAATGATTGATACTTGGATAGAACGAAATCCTGTAGCAAGTTTTCTGTATAGACTTCAATGTCAAGTTATATTTTATACTAGATATTCTGCTACGGGTACAATGGATGCCAAATTATTTTTTTGTAACCGAATAGAGCATACTTAATAAAATACTTAAATTACGCTAAATACACTGTAATAACAATTATGTTTATTTAATTTTGTTTTTGACATTATTGATAGAAATTTGTTTGATGAAAATATGAATCTAATATTTAATTTTTTTGTTAATGTTAGAAAAACAACATCAAATTTTTTTCAGCGACGCATTTAAGTAAGTGTTTTACTCTTCGTTATATTACATGTTGCTGCGCAAATTAATATTATATCGAGAATTAAAATTGAAAATGTATTTCGACAATTCTATTGTAGTAATAGAACAATGACGTGTGAGTCATTCACAAATTATATCGACGAGAAACCAAATTTTGAGAGTTAGTACTCGATCCGACGTTGAATAGCTTAGTTGATTATATTTTGTAATTATATTTTATGAATTGTGTGTAAATTGTAATAATTTTATTTAATTAATTTTTGAAACTGTTGTTCTCTCTACGAATGTGAAGTAAAAAAAAGACTGTGTTAAACTGACTATTAATCTTTATTGTGCAACTCTATATATTATAAACAAATTATTAAATCGTTGCTTTGTGTAGTTCGTTTATATGTTCAAAATAAATTGTGAGTTGTGACAATGTGATTTGGATTACTTTGCATTCCCCACCAATCTACAAAGAAAATTCTAAGTGAATTATATTTCTGTGGCTTTGTAAGATTGTACATGGTCCTTCGAGCTAGATTTAAAGAACATTTTGAGGTCAACTAAGGATCGAGTGCTCAGAAGAAAGAAGATTGTTGCAGCATTGGGTCAATAAGGAGATAAAAACAACGACATAGAATCAAAAATCATTTGGATCACTTATTGATTATTACCAGTATTGGAAATTAATTTCAAAATTCAACAATCTAACGAAATCGAGTCAACTGCTAGCAGAGTAATTAACTTCTCATCAAATGACTCATCAACAAAGACTAAAGTAAGCGTATTGTATTTAATTTGATTGTAAACATTGTAAAATAAACAATTATGGACAAAGACGAAATTGAAAATGCTCGACAGATTAGAACTAACTGTAAAACGAAAATTACAAAATTTAGTACGTTTGTAGAAAAATGTTTAAGTGATAATCATAATATTTCTGTCGAGGAAATTGCATTCCCCACCAATCTACAAAGAAAATTCTAAGTGAATTATATTTCTGTGGCTTTGTAAGATTGTACATTACATTTTCTAATGTTCATCCATTATTTAAGCTTTTTTACTCATTATCCTTTGTAATATTTTCACCCTTTTTTTCAATGGTGGACGACATGGAGCTACCGCCTGCCTTGACTCTGAGTGCAGCATTCCAACGTGGTCCATGAGTTTTGATTACTTTGTTTAAAATTTAATAATTGTTCCGTAATTAAATTTGAAACATTTTGTTGTCGCCTAACAAGAATTTGTTAAGCTTCTTCAAAAAAGTTGCAAACATGCCATAGTAGGGGAGACTAGGTGCGGTTGTTACGCTGTGCAGTTGTTACACACGGTGTTTGTATACAGAAAAAAAGTTTGCCTGACACAGGAAAAAAAAAGTCTGACTCCGTTTACACCTTAAATTCAGCCCATGTATTTCACATAAGTCTGTCCTTGTTTAACGGGGCTGACTCCGTTTACATCTTAAATTCAGCCTCAAAAATAGGCTGAAAGTAAAACTTTTTTTTTAGTGTGGAAATGTCGCTAAAAACAAACTACTGGAATCTCTTTATAATGACTCCAGATGCTTGAAAATCACTCTCCAAAAATCTGATCTGATCCTTTTTTAAGATATTATAGAAATAAGATTTTTATTCAATTTATTGAAAAATCATCATATGTGAACGTCCGCATGACAAGAGACCACTTTGGCACTATTGGACTTATCTACACTACCGGTCAAAATTGAGAGACCACCCATTTTCAGATGATTGAAAAACATTTTAAAACATAAAATGTAGGGAAACTAAAATTTTTTTTTAAAAATTTTTTGAAGGATGTTAAAATTTAAAAAAAAAACAAGATCTTTTAGAAGTCATTTGGCCAATACTTTATTTCGACATTTTTAAAAAATCGTCATTTTCAATGTTTTACAAAAATTTGAATAACTTCTAAAATAATAGACGCTTTTCAATTATCTTCGGCTTATTTTAAAGGTCATTTGTTACACTATAAGAATTACTTATAGGCTTTAACGTGTAATTCTTTCCTTAGAAAATGCAGGCCATCAAACTTGGACCAAAAAAGTTCAAAAAATTTGGAACATACTTATTAACAGAAAAATAATTTTTAAAATTCAAACGTATTTTTTTTTATTAAATTTTCTTGAAAAATCTACACTATATGATTTTCTATATATTTTCTAGAATAGTTTTTAGTACAGAAAAATTGTTCCAAATTTTTTGAATTTTTTTGGTCCAAGTTTGACGGCCTGCATGTTCTAAGAAAAAAATTACACGTTAAATCCTATAAGTAATTCTTATAGTGTAACAAATGACCTTTACAATAAACCTAAGTTCATTAAAAAGCGTTCATTATTTTAGAATTTATTCAAATTTTTGTAAAACATTGAAAATGACGATTTTTTAAAAATATCTCAATGAATTATTGGCCAAACGACTTCTGAAATATCTTGTTCTTTTCCAAATTTTATCATCTATCAAAAAATAAACAGAAAAAAAATTTTAGTTTCAATAAATCTTATGTTTTAAAACGTTTTTCATTCGCCTGAAAATGGGTGGTCTCTTAATTTTGATCGTTAGTGTATATGGGCAAATTGCATGCAAAATTTGGAAAGTTTTGAGTGGTCTTAGAACCTTTTTGGTGAAAAATTTGACGAGTTACAGAATTTCAAAGTTCTAGATTACGAGATAATCGTAATTTAATAATTTTGAAAAAAATATCGAATCTTTTTTATTCTTTTTTCTTAATCTACAAGGTCTCACACATCGATTCATCGATTTTTCATTAATTTATTGATAGTTTAAGTATTTTATTTCGTTGTTAAATAAAAAATGAAAAGGGACCACTTTGTCGATCTATTGCAAAAGTTGTTTCGGTTTCAAACTGGAGGGGGCGAAAAAATTCAAAATCTTCTGATTTTTCATCTTAAGGGTATACTAAACTTTAAAGAATTCTCATATGAATAACTTCTCAGAAGAACCAGAGAAATTCGCGTTACAATTTTTAATTTAGTTTTTTTTCAAATGAAAATTTCGATATTTCCTTAGATTATTCATAATAAAGTCCCTGAAAAAATATGTTTATGTCTACTTTCTCTTTTTTTGCTTTAAATAACTCAATAAAATAATATCCAACTATTAACTTTGCAAAAAATCAGGTTTATTAATTAAACAACGCAATTTTAGAAAAGCGACCACTTTGTCGGATGTCCGTTATATTTTTATTTTTTCAAAATGGAGGGGGGAAATTCGAAACCTATTAATTTTTCATCTTTAAGGTGTAGGGGAGAGTGGGGCAAAGGCGCTAGGTTTACATTTATCGATGTATATTTTTTAAATTCAGCAATTAATTTATGCGGCCTTTGTTTTTCATTATTCTAAAACTAATCAACAGAAATTTTAATAGTTGTTATTTAGTATATTATAATTATAAATACATTATTTAATGAAATTTAAAAACAATGCAAAAAATGCCTTTGCCCCACACGCTGGGGCAGCGACGTTTTCGCTTATATTTCTAAAAGAAAGCATTTATAAGCCTTAAAAAATTAACAAGTGATATTTATTAGTATAATATTTACGAAACATAAGGTTAACAACATATTATTAAAAGAATTAAACTATTTAAATAGAAAATACAAAATTAAACTAAAACACCACGCCAGTTGTGTAGAGAAATATTTAATTTATTTACATGTTACGTTTTTAAAAATTAAATACTTAAACTTATGTTTTAAAAAATAAAAGTTTGCTCAGTAAAATTATCATTTTATTTTTGCAAAACAATTTTTTTGTTATATTTCTTAAAATACTTTATATTTTTAGGTTTTTCTTTTTTTAATCAATTGGTCTGATTGCATTGCAACTTAATTTTTAATACCAATTGGAATAGACAGAAAATAAAGGAGAAATTTTAAAAAACGTCTTTGCCCCGCATAGCGCCTTTGCCCCACTCTCCCCTACTAGACTAAAAACAATTCTTATCTGTATAATTTCCTAGAAGAACCAAAGATATTCGCATTACAATCTTTAATTTCGATTTTCTCGAAATGAGGTTTTTGACATTCTAAACTTTGAAATTCTGTAACTCGTCGAATTTTTCTCCAAAAAGGTTCTGAGACTACTCAAAATTTTTCAAATTTTGCAAGCAATTTGCCCGTATAGATAAGTCCAATAGTGGCAAAGTGGTTCCTTCTCATGCAGACGTCCACATATGATGATTTTTCAATAAATTGAATAAAAATCTAATTTCTATGATATCTTAAAAAAAGGATCAGATAAAATTTTTGGAGAGTGATTTTTAAGCATCTGGAGTCATTATGAAGAGATTCCAGTAGTTTGTTTTTAGCGACATATCAGGCAAACTTTTTTTCCGTGTACAAACACTGTGTTTAGTCGCATCTTAGGGGTCGTTCATAAACCACGTAGCCAGTTTAGGGGGAGGGGGGGGGGTTTAGTGAAGTTCTACTTTGGGCTATGTGGGGGAGGGGAGGGGTCCGAGCCATTACTACGTAGTTTTTTACTACAATATTTATTTTGATATTTTTGAAATAGCGCGGGTGATTTTAAGTACGAACTGAGCGATTAATCGATTCGAGTCGACTCAATAATCGAATTCCATCCCTCCCTGTTACTTCTTTTACCGGCGTATTTTGTTTACATACATCCGAGCGCAAGTTTAAACCGGCATCCACCACGTGCAATTAATAGTGTTATTAAAAAAGTGCAATCTATGTGTTATGTCGTTATACAGTAGATTATTCGATGCGTACAAAAAATGTTACACAGGAGAATTTTCGAAGTCGAAAATTCAGAACGATGTGAATGAGTTGTTGAAAAATCTAAAAGAAAATAAAGCGTCATTAAATGAAAATACGGAAAATAAAATAAAACAGTTGCTGCAAAAAAAAACTAACAAAGATGCAGCTCGAATTAGTTTTCCTACAAATTATCAACAGGTATGTATGTTGTGTTTTCATTTGTAGTCTAATATTAAATAAATAATTATTTTTATTTATTGTAATAATTATTTGAATGAATTTCATTTTCTCTACTCTGCTGTTAAATGAAAAAAATTGTAAATGCACAGTAGTTTTATTATAGCAAACATTTAATCTATAAAAGAACGTTTTAATTAAACCTATTTTTTATAAGAATAATTAATTAATTTATAACTAAAATTAAATTAATAAAATTTCAAATAGTCCATTAAAAATTTTAGAGAATTAAAAATTTTTATTAAAAATTTCTTTTTATAAAATAATAGAGGTTTAACTATTAAAATTCTTACAGATAAATTTCTGTTAAATAAATTTTTACTGCATTTACCATTCTGTCTCATAACAACATAGTTAAGAAAATGGAATTTATTTCAAAAACTATTATTATGAACAAAAATACGATTAGACTTAATATTAATTAAATGGAGATTCTAGGAAATAGAAATTCTATGTGATAAAAATTCGTCTATAATGTAGTTCGATGTAACTTTTCTCGGTTTTGTGTATAAAAAGCGTCCAGCGAACAATTATATCTTAAAGTGACATTTTTTATTAATTTAATTTTCAGACATCAACACGAGTGGACAACCACACTTCTAACAGTACATCCTCTTCCAATATTACATCCACTTTAAACACTCCATCTACTTCTAACACTCCATCTACTTCCGACATTCCATCCACTTCCAATATTCCATCCAGTTCCAATATTCCATCTACTTCAAGTGATTTTAGCGTTAGTGTTGAGATTCCGGTAGATACAGAAGCCGATAGTCCTGTAAGAGGTAAGCAACTATTCAGATGGAAGGAATTGATTATCTAAGTTGAACACTGGAATTCAAAAAAATTTAATTTATATTTCGTTTTTTAGAAAATAAACGTAGAAGAGTGGAGCGAATTCTGAGCAGTGATGAGGAAAGCGATTATACAAGTATAAGTCTTGCTAGAAAATACAACACTCCTATTCAAGACACTTTGAAGGCCAAAATCAGTTTAATCGAAAAAGAGCTAATTGCAGCAATTGAGGGCCGCGACTCTGGTCTCATTGGGCCTGAGATTCAAAAAAAGATTAACGACTTGAAAAAGAATCTTGAGGAAAATAAAAAACTACTTACAAAAAAGGAAAACAAAGCAAAACTCGCACGAAAATATAGATTACAGAGAAAACAGGCACTCAGTATAATTAAAACAGAAAATCCCGATGTAGCTAAAGCTTTACATGTAAGTTAAAGGTATAAAGAAAAAAAACTTACCTCTCTAATGTAAAAATTCATAATATTTTATCTTTTCTATTCTAGATTCGAGAAACACCAGGCAGACCCCGACTCGAAGACGACCAGCCAGAACTATTGAAAGCAATTATTGACATCGCGATGTTCGGAGGAGCTGCTGACAATCGTCGACGAACAGAGCTAGTTCAGAGTTGCAAAACCTTGGAGGACTTACACATTGAACTGCAAGCACAAGGTTTTAATTTATCGAAAGGTGGTGTCTATTTGAGACTTCTTCCTCGGAACTCTCGTACAGCGGAGGGTATGAGGCACGTCACTACTGTACCAGTAAAGCTTTGTCGTGCTCAAACAGATGGACGAAAAGGACATCGTGATGGAAAATTTTGTACAGCATCTATAAAGTAACTATTAAATCTATTACCACTTCTTTTAGGTAGAATTTTACACTTTTAGCTGCAATGACATTCTTTTTCATAGGTCTGTGGAACAACTGATTTCAATATTAGGCCCTAGGCAAGTCGCCATCATCTCTCAAGATGATAAGAGTAGAGTGCCTCTAGGCCTGACTGCTGCAAAGAAGCAGGCACCTATTCTGATGCACTTGGAGTACAAAGTGACATTACCAGATCATGACTGGGTGGTAGCACCCAGTCATAAGTTAATTCCAAGTGTCTATGCGGGAATTAAGGTAGAGAACGGCAAGATTGGCGATCCAAAATCTGTCACATATTCAGGACCTACGTATATTGCGATTCGCAGTGCTAAACATTGCTCCAGCACTGCAGAATCACACGCATTTGATTTTCAGAAGCTTGTACATTTAGAATGTTTTAGAGATATAATTTACGGTAAAAGCAATTATAATACAAAATATTATAAATTGGTAAAGTTGGTTTTAATTAAATTATTCTTTTCCTACAGACGGAGAACAAGTAAAGCCTGTCCTAGTGATCATGTCCGACGGTGGACCGGATGAAAATCCACGCTACCAGAAAGTGATTGAGTATGCAGTAAATCATTTTATTATGTACAATCTAGATGCACTGTTTATAATTACGAATGCTCCTGGGCGAAGTGCGTATAATCGCGTAGAAAGACGTATGGCTCCGTTGAGTCGGGAACTGTCTGGTCTAATACTACCTCACGACCATTTTGGCTCGCACCTCAATAATAGTTCTGTAGTAGTAGACAAAGAGCTTGAATTAAAAAATTTTGAATTCGCTGGGGAGACTCTTGCGGACGTATGGAGCAAATTGATAATTGACGGGTCTCCAGTAATCGCAGAATATGTCAAGCCGGAGTGTTTTGCTGAAAAGCCAAATATTTTATCACCCGAATGGTACTATTTACATGTACAGGAGAGTCAATACTTCCTGCAGGTTTGAATAATTATCCTACAATCGTAAATAAAATGTTGTTTTAATTATGTTTAACAAATAGAAAATAAATCATTTATAACGTTTTAATAATGCTAGATAGTCAAATGCGCTGATCGAAACTGCTGTGGAGATTGGAGGAGCAACATAAAAGATGTTCTTCCAACGAGTAATGGTTTCTTACCACCTCCTTTTCCATTACGCAGGAATGATCAAGGAATAGTTATCATTCCAAATCCAGATGACGTTAAAGATAGTGATAGTTTTCCTGATCTTTGTCTTCGCCAATCGGTTGGACTAAAACCTGTTACTACAACGGGTTCAAGTATCCCTTACGATTTTTACTGCCCTTCAGTGCGTAACGAGATCGAAGGTATTAATTAAAAAGGCATTGGATGATTAATTTTAATTTAATTTTCATTCAATTTATTATACTATTTCGACAGTCAGATTACTCCGTAAAGTGTATTAATAAAAACTTACTTATTCAAAAACTTTTTGACCATTAAAACAGTCCTTTATAATTTTACTATAAACTAACAGTTTGTCTTTATTTTTAGGAAGAACGTGTGATTTTTGTCAAGCATATTTTGCATCAAAAAAGCAAAAGGCCATACATAGTAAGGCGATACATGGCTGCAACATTACTGACAAACAGCGTGCAAAAAAATTAATATCAAAGCGGGGCACAGAATTACTGTGTGAGCTTGACATTTTAGAACCCGTAGTAGAATGGATTGAAGAAAATGACGTAGAAATAGTTACACGTGAAGTACCTGAAGTTCAGATAGACGAAAATGTATTTCCAGTTATAAACAACTTACATGATTGGCTAGTCTCGCCATTTGAAGACGATGATCTCTAACAAATGAAAATTTGTTTCGCTGATAAAAGTTATATTTATATTAATATACATGTTTTTTTATTTATATTTTATTACGATGATCTCGACAAATTTATATTTATAATATAAAAAGAAAAAATTAATAAAAATTTAATTTTTGTATTTCGAATGATTCTTTTTAATTTAAACTATGTACTTATGCGATAAAAAAGCATTTTAAAAAAAATTTTTAAAAACTACGTTCTCCCCGGGGGAGGGGGGGGGGTGTTATAAAGAAAGTCTACGTTAGTCTACATGGGGGGAGGGAGGGGTCGAAAAGTACCAAAAATAGGGCTACGTGGTTTATGAACGACCCCTTACGACATGCAGTTGAATATACGGGAATCCTATTTTTTTCTCGGCCGGAAACACCACTGCCATGTTCCTATTTTTAAATATTAGGTATTGAATCGGAAAGTACATTTCTCGTATGATCCAGATCGAGTCAATATTACTTTATTTATTAAACCAATATGTAAAATGTGTTATTGGTTTTTCAATAAATTGCAAACAACTACTGCAACGTGCAGTTGTGTGAAATTCATTTACTGTAACAATTTACTATGGTGCAATACTTGATATCTTTTAAATAAATCTAGTGAGTAGTTAATGATTTGTCGATAATCTTTGGGATTTATTTTTTAATAATTTTCCATTTCCACATGTTCAGTCACATAATCTTTAAACATGTTTTTCTATAAATTCCTCTGTCTTTTTTGAACTGCCTTTTCTGATATTCTTGCGTCTGACATCTATTTCTGCTACTTCGCATATAAAATTATAAATATGTCTATCAATCAATTTTTCCATTAGATGGAGCATATGATTTTAATCGACGAACACCACTAAAAGACGCATAGTGTGAGCATACTAGTTCGTTCAATGCAGCGGCTCCTACATAGGAGAGTAGGACATTCTTCTCTTTTAGTCAATTCCCCTCCGAGAATTGGCCTAACTACACTGCAAAAAGAAGTGTCTTATTATAAAACGTTTTCAGTGTCTTAGACACCAAAAACGTCTTAATTTAAAACGTTTTTGGTGTCTAAGACACTAAATACGTCTCAAAATAAGACACCTCTTTTTGCAGTGTAGTCGAATACATAAAGTAAAGAAGAAGGAGAAGTGCATTGCCTTCAGGGAAGAGCTGATATACTTAATGTAAGGCATTCAGGCTTGAGCTCGGTTTCTGTTTGTCCGCGGTTGACTTCAAGGCAAATCGGTATAGGCGAACTTGGGCGAACTGATTGAAAAGACTGAGCGTGCGAGTTATAAAGGTTCGTTGTGTAGCAGCGCGAAGAGAGCGAGTGGTGGGAGAGAAGGCGGCGGCGCAAGTTTTGTGCGCTGTTGTCACCCGAGTCGAACTTTTAGACCTGCTTACCTCCTGGTAAGTATAATTTAACTCTAACCTGCACCTAACAAACCCTTGGTGTTTTTTCCTCCTGCGTAAGTTCTATTTAACTCTGACAACTCCTTTTTAAGTCCTAATTGAACCTTAAACCCTGTATTGCTTCTACCACATTCTTACGCAATAGGAAATGTTACGCGCGGTACAAGATATTCAACTTATTATTGTTTTGTAAATTACAAAATTTTTTATTTTGAAAATTTCACGAAAGAATTCAATTATTTTCTAAAATTTTAATAAATCCTTCGAAAAAATTCAATTATTTTTATAAATAGTAAAATTCTTCCGAAGAATTCAATTAATTTTATAAATATGTAGTAAAATTCTTTGCAGGAATTCAATTATTTTCAAAACAATTTTAATTGAATTCCTTAGATGAATTCAAATATTTTAAAATATTTTCATAAATTGCAATTATTTTCTTAAACTTTAATAAATTCTTCGAAATAATTCAACTATTTTTATAAATACTAAAACTCTTTGCAAGAATTAAATAATTATTAACCCAATTAAAATAAAATTAAACGAAAGAATTTAATTATTTTCAAAAATTCCCATAAAATTTAGTTTCAACAAGAATTTAAAATTTTTGAAAAACAATTTAATTATTCTCAAAATATTTTAAAAAAATTCTATATAAGAATTAAATTACTAGCTCAATACAATTTTTGAATATATTATCGTCAAAAGAATTGAAATAATTCTATTATTTTCGAAAAGTAATTAAAATTCTTATGATGAATTCAATTATTTTGAATATACTTAATTTTCATAAAATTCTTTAAAGAAATTCAATTATTTTCGAAACAACTTTAATTGAATTTTTCGAAAAAATTTCATGATTTTTAAATATTTCTATAAAATTCTTCATAAACAATTTAATTATTTCTTAAAATTTTAATAAATTCTTCGCAAGAAATCACTTATTTTCAATACAATTTTAATAAAATTCTTCTTCATAAAATTCAATTGCTTTCGAAATTTTCAATTAAAATTATTAAAGAAACTCCATTAGTTTAAAAAAAATTCAAAGAAATTTTTCAAAAAAATTTAATTAGGATTTTTAAAAATATTAATAAAATTCTTTGCGAGAATTTAGTTATTTTTCTAAATAAAGAAATTCTTTGAAGGAATATTCTATTATTATCAAATTTTTTGATAAAATTCTTTGCAACAATTCGAAGATTTTTAATACATTAATATTAAAATTGAAAATATTTGAAAAGAAAAATTAAAAAAAGATTAAGAAACCAAAATGTAAACAACAATTAATTTCAAACTGCGAATAGGTTACCGAAACATGTACTTTTTTATTATTAATTTATAAATATTATTTTTAACTGAAATGTTTTGACATTCTTTTTAAATAATAAAAATATTAATTTATGAATGTTTAATGGTTATTATTATTAAACAATTTATTTATTTGCTGTAGTGTATTAGTGTCAATTAATGCTTTATTGAATCACTCAACAAGTCACTGAAAATAGAGCGCCTGCGTTCAGTTAGGTTCCGTAGCATAGTGGTTAGGGCGTTAGTTTCGTAGTCCGTAGTTCGTAGGTCGTAGGTTCAAGTCTCGCGTGCGTTAGATTTTATTTATTTCGTAGGTTTGCGTTTATTCCGATTTTTCTGTATTGTATAGGTATAAGTATGCAATTTAATGATTATATACACCGTTAAATAATTTAATTAACAAATATTAAATTAAAATTTTTTTTTAAAAAATGTAAGCTATAAAATGTAAACTAGTGTAGTGGATAGCGTTAGTGTTTAGTATGCGTTAGGTCTAGGGTTCGTGTCTCCCCCCATCGGTTAATAATTTATTTCGTTAATATGCGGTTATGCAATAAGTGGTGTGTATTAATTAACAAAAATGTGTATAAAATATCTCAAGTGACATAGAATTTAATAAATTGAGTGATTCTAATTTTTTTGTTTCCCATTTCCATTACTATGGATCACCCAACCATAGATCTTTTGCCTCTCCAACAATATACAGCCAGCCATAGAATATGGATGCAGCAACCTTAACTATGGATATCCCGTATTTTTCAATATAATATGGCTGTGATATCCATGTATCTGATTGTGTCAACTATTCCTTTTTCTCCGTGTACTTACAGATATGTACTTAGACAGCGTGTTTCTATGCACCTGTATAATTTTCTTGCTTCGTAGTAAAACTACGAGGTGCAACTCTATATTAACTGTTTAAATTCATAGAATCAATAATTTTTTAAATTAATACACTTATAGTGATTAAGCAGATTTAATTTCGCAAATTATCAATTATTATCTTTAATAATACTGTAATCAGATTTATTTTCTTTATTGTGTAAACTTATACTGAAATTTAATTACCCGTGTAGAAATTGAAAATAGGACTTAGTAAGGCCCTGAATAGACGCCCTTTTGTTTAGTGAGGTGCAAACTAGGAAAATTAGTCAGGACCCGTCTAATTTCCTCAAGCTTGAAATATTAGGTGATGATGTGGAAAGATAGAGAGGTTCTAACTAGATCGCCCTGTCACTGCCTGAATATAAAAGCATAATGTGTGGATTTAACTAGAGGGCCTGTTTAGCGCCTTATTAGTTTTTCTAAATACTTAAGCAAAAATTTATGACCAGCGTAATATTGCGCCAGTAATACTGAACAAGTCACAAGATATTCTAATTTCTTGATGATAGTGATGCTGTTAGGATACATTAAAGTTTTAACAAGTTAGACTAATTCCTTTCATCAAGTGTATTGTTACAGTTTTTAAAATAATCATTTACTTTTCCAAGTTACACAAATGTAAAAATTGTTGTTACATATTATTCGTTGTTAAAGTTTGATTTGCAATAACATTTTTCTGCTTTGGTACGATAGAGAACCGTTAAATTACCACATTATATTCTACTTTTGCATCCGACCACGATGGGATTAACATAAATTAAGTTATAAACAAGTTGTATATTTACACATCCTTTACGTCTTATTACTATTATTATTAATATTTGTTCTTTATCCTTATACTAATTGGTACTTTTTTTTAAAGAATCTTAAATTACAAATTGTTCTAAATTTTTATTTTGTCGTACCTGTATTATAACTGACAATTACTTTCATATAGCAAACACAAAATAACTTTTAACTAATTACAATTATTGACTAATTTTTTACTGAACATTTACGGAACATGTCATTCTATAACAAACAATTTATTTCGTATTGCAGTAAATTAAACTTTTCCTTCCTTTATTAATTATAAAAATATATGTATTTGTTGTAAAATATCACACATTTTTGAGCTTTTCATTTTTTAGTATATATACATTTAGAATAGTTTTTGTAGTATTGTACTTGCTTGTCATTTTGATATGTTCAAATTATTAATTAATTAGAATAAAATCTGCAACTGATAAGCTGTAGCACTTAGCATATTTCAAAGGACACTAAATGTACCTTTAGTATGGTTATGATTGAAAAATACATTGAGAAATGTATTACCTAAGAGTACATAGTACATCTTAGTATACTACTGAATTGTAGGAATAAATTGCAAATATTTTACAATAAAACTTTTTCTTAAAGTAGTAAGGTCCCACTTGACCATGTTTGACTTTTATGATTGAATTTTGAATGTAAAATGCAACTAAAGATACTCAAGCAATGCAATGACACGTATCTTTCATATTTGAACGAATCCAACTCAAATATTTGGAGACTCTTGTATAGACGCCGGGATATCCTGCTCTTCCGCATCCTACACCCCAAGATACTATTCCTACGAAAAATTATTAGTGAATATAACATACGTAAATGAATATATATTCGAATATAATTTAACTTATTATTATAAAACTTGATTATCGTTGATGAATAAACAACTAGAATAAATTTTATTACATACTTTTATTTTCGTTTGTTTTTAAAATTATGTTAACTAATTTAATAAAATATATAAGAGAGTTTAAAATTACCTTTCAATTCTAATTTATCACCTTCTTGCACAAGTAATGGACCACCACTATCACCTTGGCAAGAATCTTGCGATCCTCGTCCGGCACATATCATGTTGTCAGTGATACGGCTGGCTCGATATTTCATATTCCGACACTGTGTAAGAGAGTAAATTGGAACTTGAACCTCGTGAACTTCGCCAGGAAGCATTCCTCCTTCTTTCGTTCGTCCCCATCCCACAACAGTTCCTTCTTTACCACCAGGATCCTCTTCTGTACATTAATAATTACATTTAATTATTCCTTTGATGGATTAAAAGAACTTTAAAATTTTTCAACCTACAGCAAATGTTGTCCACCAAGAATAAGTTAGTTAATTAGGTAACTGTTAGAATCGTTAATTAATTGATTAAATAAATACTTTAATTAGAAATGTAATATTTAGATTACCAGCATCGGGTAAACAGACTGGTTTGATTGATTTTGAAAAAGTGACTGGTTTTCGCAAACGAAGTAAAGCTATATCGTGATTGAAAGAATTCATATCAAAATTTCGATGACGTATTATATGTCTCACTGCTCTCATTTTTGCTATGCCGTCACTGTTGACATATTGATCATGATCTCCCAAAATTACTCTAATTTTTGTTCTCTGCAACCTGCAATGAAAAGTAAATTATTGTTGCTGCAGTAATAAATAGCATAGTAGCGATTGCTATACCATCAATGGTATGTTTGGCATCATACTAACCGTTACTATAGAATGTACTAACACGATAATTCAATTACTATTTCGTCGGGCTAGCGCAATATCATACTTATTCGATAAACAAGGCAAGAACATACTTATTCAGAAAAGAGGCAAGAACATGTTTATTCAAAATATAAAGTAAAAACAAACGAATTCGCAAATTAACCTTTTTAGTCAGACTTTAAATTATCAAGAATATTATAATTTTATTTCAATAATACTTTTCATATTAGAAAAACAAAATATTAAAAAAATTATTCTCAATGGAACTAAATAAAAGTTATTATTCGTAAAACAATTGTACAAAAGTAAAATTTAAAATCTGACTAAAAGGGTTAATTTGCGAATTCGTTTGTTTTTACTTTATATTTTGAATAAGCATGTTCTTGCCTTTTTTCTGAATAAGTATGTTCTTGCTTTGTTTGTCGAATAAGTCTGATATTGCGCTAACCCGACGATTTAATAATAATAATTTATTGAACAATAAAACTTAAATTTTTCGAGTAGATTATATTGTTAGTAATACAAAAACCACTTTATCGACAAATTAACGACAGTCCATTCTTTGGTGACGTTGTATATCACAATTTTATGAAAACTATGAGAGTATACATTATAGGGTGTCCGTAAATGTGCGACTTTCGAATTTTGTTTACGCCACTCCCCAGTTTGGTTTCAATAAAATAAAAAAAATGTTTTCCAAAATCTGAAGGCGATTTATTAATATTAACACGTGCCAGTAATCGATCGAAATTTCCCATTAAAAATACATGGAAAAAATGCACTTTTAAAAAAAAATCATAATTTTTTTAATTTTTTACATAAAAATTATATAAAATTAAATAAAATGGGTCATAAAAATGCACTACAATATATGCAACGTTTTATCATACATAAATGATCCCGGAAATTCAACAATTTTTCTGACTCGGAGGTATTTTGGATCAAGAATCTGATATCAGAAATAAATTTTTCAAAATTTTTGATCCAATATGGTGGACCCAAAATTTTGATTGGATCAAAAATTTTGAAAAATTAATTTCTGATATCAGATTCTTAATAAACGATCCAAAATACATCCAAGTAAGAAAATTTGTTGAATTTCCGCAAACATTTACGTGATAAAATGTTACATACATTGTGGTTTTTATGCCCTACTTTAAACATCCGCCATTTTGAAAATTTTTGAAAATTAAATTAATTATAATAATTTCAATGTTTTTTAATTCTTTCATTCATTTACTTTTTCTGTCCCTCACACTCTGAAGTTGTCTTTTGTTTATACTTTTGTTTTTTTATCTTTAGATAGATTGTATATGATATTATTATGTTATAATTATTTTTATTTGACCGACAGATTAGCTCGGTCGGATAATTGCCTGGCTCGGTGGGCGGACCAAGGGTACTTGGTTCGCGCCCATTAGCCTGGGATTTTTCCGGCACGTGAGATAATCTGAGCGGGAGGTTTGACGTCGAAGTATAATGATGTGCACCGTCGATTATTGTCCGGTACACACCGTTAAAACTCGGCTGTCGATAAACCGGTTGTACTCAGGAGAGGTTTTCTACGGGTGTATAAACAAATATATAGAAAATAATTATTTTTATTTTATAATTAATTCAAAATTGTAACGATACATAGAAATCATCAGAATTTTTTTCACTTCTTTTCATTAAAAGACTAAAATTTTGTTAAATATTATGTTTTGTCAAATTGAAATTATGCAGATTTTTGTTCTTTATATTATTTCTAAACAAAATTAAAAAATTGTTAAACAACTGTGATTAGGAAATAGAAAATTTATTTATTTTGCATTATTTTTATTTATGAATCACAATTTCTATTTTTAATCTTATTTTTGGAACAGGATTTTCCACAGAACTTAAGAAATTAAAAAATTTCAAATTCAAACCTTTCTGAAATTATATAACTTATAATAAGTATTGTTGTAAAACATGAAGATATCGATTGCTCCGAGTCGAAGATTCGGAGTGATCGATTTCTTCATGTTTTCTAATAATTAAAGATGAACGAGAGATAAAATCATTATTTTATATTATAAGAATATTGTTACTGTAACTTTATCAAAATTATTTTCATCATTTTAATTCAATTATTATTTTCTAGAATTTTAAATTATTTTTTATGAAAATAATAGTTGAATTCCTTAAAAAAATTGCATTATTTATGTAAATTATTGAATTCCTGTGAAATTTTTATTATTTATGAAAATAATTAAATGTTTGCATATAATTATTTAAAAATTTTTTTTAAATAATTGAATTATTTTTATGAAATTTTATTAAACCAGTAGATATTGAAAATCATTGAAATTAGAAAAATTGTTGAAAATAATTAAAATTAGGACAAGAATTTTTTTGATATTTATGAAAATAATTCAACTTTGGAGAAGAATTTTCTTATTTATAAAGATAATTGGTATTTTTTTTTTAAATAGGTAGTTGAATTTTATAAAAAGAATTTTATTTTTTTTTGAAAATAATTAAATGTTTGCAATTATTTGTAATTTCTCCAAAATTGAATTTTTTTAGTTTTCAACAAAAATTTAAATTAGAAAATTTTTAAATTCTATTATTTTTAAAATTGCTAATTTTGTTTAAAAAATCGATTACTGGCACGTGTTAATATTAATCAATCGACTTCAAATTTTGGGAAAAATTCTTTTTATTTTATTGTAACCAAATTGGGGGGTGGCGTAAACAAAATTCGAAAAAATAAATTTCCTATGTATCTTACGGACACTCTAGTTTATATATATATATGTTTACTGTAAAATTTAGAGTAACATAGTAAAATAAAATATGCAAGGAGCTTGACGGAGTAATAACACTATAAAACTTTACTTTCTGACACAATGAGCTGCAGTTATCACGTAATCGTTCGTAAGTAGACTAGCACCGCAGTGAAATTTGCCATCGTAAACAAGCCTTGCTATCCAAGGATATTTATGTGGAAGGGTCGGTCTTCCACCCACTATTCGAATTTCCTGATTTGTAATACCACATTCTGAAAAAAATATGATACATTTTTCTATCACTGAATTTCTTCTTAAATTTGTAAATTGTTTATTCCCTTTAGAAAAATTACTTTCAAGGGGCTAATTTTTTTCCACAATCCTTCTGTACATGATTATGAAAAATTTATCATAATAACTACAGTGTGGAAAGAAAAATCGGCAAAGACTTAGGGGAGGTCGCTTTTGACTAATTTTGAGTTATAAACAAAATTGATAGACTGAATTAATTTCACTTTTCAATGAAATAAATATCTTTTAAATTTATATTAAATTTCATTGTCATGCATTAATTATTGAAGAAAACATTACTGCGTACAGAATATTAATATAAAAATAATTTTCCTATTTCGAAGAAATTTTTGAAAATATTAATTTCGTTTCATCAATATAAAAAATTGTTTGAGAAAAAATTTTAGTATCAATAGTCTTAGAATACAAAATGTTCTTTTAAAAAAAATTGAATAATTTAGGAAAGCAAGGGATTAAAACCAATTTAATTTTACCCTTGTGCAACACAACTTTTAATTACTTCTAACAAATTAATTCTTGTATCAAATACGTTACCACAGGAACAATTTCGTAATTTTTCTGCTTCTGATTCTGAATCTGAATCTGAGCCTGTTATATCCAATCCAAATATTTCGTCAAATAGAAATTTTCCCGATCGATTGTTTTTCTTTGACTGTAAAAAAAAGTTACTTAAATTTTATAATTTATAAAATTGAATATATATATATATATAGGGGAGAGTCTCCAGTTGTGAGACACCTCCAGTTGTGAGACAGTCAATTTTTTTTAACATGCAATATTAAAAAGCCGATTGGTTTATATAAAAACATTTCTTTTTATATGAGCCAACTTTTTCGTGTACGCCGAAGCGGATATATAAACTGTTTTTGTTAAATACCAACACTGTGTGTGATAATCGACTAAAAAGCGTTTTTTCAATAAATACAAAGTACTTTTTTTCCAAGTTAATTAATTGGAAAAGGTTAATGTAATGCATTTTCTTTTAGTGTTTTCCTTATATTTTGTGATGCAATATTGCATTGTTCCAATCTACGGTTGAAAATAATTTAATTTTCCTTTTTCAAAATAGCGCCAATTTCTGGGTGTGAGACACAGCATATCACCAGTTGTGAGACGGTGTCAACACCCATCTGGGCAGCATAAAAAATACGACTTTGCAGGCATACTATTTAAATGTTGTTTTGATTCTTTTTTCTAGTATTTTTGGGCATGTCAAGTGGAAAAAAGTCAATTGATTCAGAAGAAATCAATTTTAATGCTCTTGTTCAAGCTATTAAATTGTGTTTATTTGATAGTCATATTTTGGCGAATAAATATTATTATTTAGTATATAATAATATATATTATTAATATATTTAATTATTTCTACTAAACATAACGTTTTATGTCAAACTTATTAAATTTTAGCAATTTTTAATGAGTGTCTCACAACTGGAGACATTTTTTTTTTTTTGAAAAAAGCGATGTGCTCGGAAAATGTATCGTAAAATTTTTTGAGTTCATCGAAGCACTATACTTTCTTTTAATAAAAGTTGCGTATTTATGTTACCTTTCGAACGGTGTATTTTATTAACAATTTCGTTTACCCGTTTACAATTTACGGGTCAAAAATGAAACCCGTCTCACAACTGGAGACTCTCCCCTATATGGGCAATTCCACGTGAGATTTCAGTCGACCTCTTAAAATCGGCCAAAAATATTTTTTTTCTATTCTGTATTGAAAAAAAACAGATACGTATTTTTTTATTATTTTTTTGAAGGCCAAATTTTTGAGTTATGAATTTTCAAAATTTTCGTTTTTTAAATGAAGATATATTTTTAATGTCAGATAACTAAAAAAATATTGCTTGTTTTCATTTTTTGACAAGAGAAAAAAAGTTTTGTTTTTCTCTCTACTTTTGAATAATCATAACAAAAAGTTTTTTTTTCATTTTTTATTAAAAAAATAAAAAAATTTTATGAACAAATTAATTTTTTTTAAGTTTGGGTATGATAAATTTTTAATTTTCTTTTTTTAAAAGATACCTGGAAATGATAAGAAGGTTTTGCAATTTATTATTAAAAATTGTTTAGAGCCTACAAATTCAATAATAATCAAAATCCGATAAAATTTGTAGGCTCTAGACAATTTTTAATAGTAAATTGTAAAAGAATCCCATTATGCTGCGTGCGAGCGACCTGCACGGGCAACTTAATTATTTTTTTAAACCCATCAAACTTGTCAGGCCCACTCTGAAACTTTTTGCAAAACCTTCTTATCATTTCCAGGTATCTTTTAAAAAAAGAAAATTAACAATTGATCATACCCAAACTTAAAAAAATTAATTTGTTTATAAAATTTTTTTATTTTTTTAATAAAAAATGAAAAAAAAACTTTTTGTTATGATTATTCAAAAGTAGAGAGAAAAACAAAACTTTTTTTCTCTTGTCAAAAAATGAAAACAAGCAATATTTTTTTAGTTATCTGACATTAAAAATATATCTTCATTTAAAAAACGAAAATTTTGAAAATTCATAACTCAAAAATTTGGCATTAAAAAAAATAATAAAAAAATACGTATCTGTTTTTTTTCAATACAGAATAGAAAAAAAATATTTTTGGCCGATTTTAAGAGGTCGACTGAAATCTCACGTGGAATTGCCCATATATTATCAAAAAAAATAATCCGTTATTATAAATATTTTAAAAATTTGAAGATTAATATCTTTCCTTCTCAGTGTATAAGAAATTTCCAACCATTTTATTTCAAAGGGACAATTTTTCAAAAAAAAAGAATACGTAGACCATTTGAAATTGACATTTATTTATGAAGTACAATCTTTTTTGAACTACTGCGAAATAAATTTGAAGAATGGAAGTTTTGAAGCGTCAATCTAATAAAATTGGAGAGAAAACAAGAATATGAGTTGAAAAGAAAATGAATGAAAATTATTTTTTCAAAATATCCAGGTGGTTAAATTTTGTTTTGCAAAAAGGTTTCAACATTTTTTCGTTGTAGCATGTTGTTATTTATTGAACTTTTTTTTATTAAAAACTATCAGTTTCATAGTCTTTCAAATAAAATAAATAAACATAAAATATTCATGCTAAATTTCAAGTTCTATTTTTATTATCAAACAAATATAAGAATAAATGAACAATTGTAGATTGTAATTCAGGAAATAAAGCAAAAAATTAATGACTTACAGATAAGACAATTTTTTTTGTTCCAAGAAAAACTTGATAACTGGTTTTTGAATAATTAATTTCACTGATCAATTAAATTTTGTGTTAAATTTATTTTTTTATATATACTTTGAGAAAATAATATGTAACTTATCCACTTTTTTCCTACATTGATTTAATTTTTTATTTAAAATTAATATTTTTTGTATTTTCAACTTGCATCTTTTATTGTATTACTTTTTTAACTTTTACAATTTTTTCCCCAAACTAAAATGGATTGAAAATATTTATAAAGTTCAATATTGAAATATTAGTTAGAATAGTGAAATACCACGAATAAATTGAGATTTATAAAAAATTTTTCCACTTACGAAAACATCATTTTCTGTTTGTCCATAATCTTTCCAGTTCACTATGCGACTTTGTCCAATTACAATGAAGTAGATAGAAAGCACAACTATCAGAACACTAATTCTATTAAACAAATTCATTCTCCAAGAAAAATTCTCCAGAAAAATTTTACTAAAAACACGAAATTTAATTTTTATTTTAATAAGAAAAAAAACTGGAGAAATTTCTTATTAAATTATTTTTTTACTTTACCACAACACTTATTATAAAATAAAAAATATCTCCTATTTACGCGCATTATTAAAGCGTGTGTATTTTTCGTCTCTCGGAGGAAAAACAACCGACACTGAATGAAGACGAGCTCGAAAATTCGTATCAATGATCACCAAAGATCACAAGAATCTTGATGAGATTGTCGGTTTGCTTTCACCATCACGTTCCGACATGTCGCACCGGAATCAAACTTGTTATAGTCAGCCAACGTTCTGAGCCAACGAAGAAAGTTCTTTCTCTTGAAATGTGCCTTTTCTCGTTTTAAAAATTATTTTATGTCCAAGGAATATTGTACATATCCCTCTACGACTGTGCAATTGCACCAATTACTGCGGCGCTGGGGGAAAATAATAAAATACAAGAAAAAAATTGTTTCATCAAAATCATTATTTCAATTTCTACATAATGTTATATTCTTACTTATTTTTATTATAATTATTATTTATTTCTACAATTTACTTTATTTTTTTTTTATTTATATTTTAGTTATAATATTTTATGTATTTTACAATTTATTTATAAACTATATTTTATTTATTAATACTTTCCTGTCTTTCGTCAATTATTTATAATTATAAATTAAAGGGAAATTCTGGAAAGCGAGAGCTGTAAATAATTTACTTGTTGTCATTCATTTGCTATGGAAAGTTTTGTACATTCTTTAACTCTACTATCAATATAAATATGCACGCAGAAAAAGTAAGTCTATTTACTTTCAACTTTAAAACAAAAAATTGAAAATGAAGAAAAATTCCTAATAAAATAAATCTATTTTTATCGATATTACTTTTTTGTATATTTTCATGAAAAGTGTAATTTCAAGAAAAGTGAAACTTTTCTCATACACCGAGTAAGAAAGAAAAACGAAAGTCATAAAAATATTGTTTTAAATTATTATTATGCCATATTAAAAAAAATTTCACAAAATTAAAAAATGATTTTATCTCTTTGTATTGAGACGAAAAATATCAAGATGCTGATAAAAATATAAAATGAAGTGTACTTAAATTGCAAAAAAATGTAAACTAAAAAATAGAGGAATAAAAAATTATCAAGGAATGATTATAATAAAATTAGGAAAAAATTATTAATTACTGAAAAGACTAATTAGCTAATTGTACCCTCTCATTTTTTTTCTTATATTTTTGTTTGTTTAAAAAATCATTAACTGTAAATAAACGAATGTTCTAATTTTGATTAAACATTTTTGGAAATTTTCCATCTCAACCAATAGAAAGTTTGCTTTATTGACAAACGAAATTTACATCTGATTTTAAGGTCCGTTATATTATGCTAATTAAATAAAACGTGTACCTAGCGATGATGCTACTTTTTGACATTCGAACGTTAGTCATCCATTCATAGAGCGTAATTTTTTTTTATATATGAAACATGGTTCAATGACGTTAAAGTTCACCGAAAAAAAAATATTCTTGTTTTAAGAGGACAATTCCTCTTCTAAAATCCTCTTACATTTTATTCTTGAATTAAGAATATTACTCTTCATTGGAGACTATTCCTCTACTTTTAAGAGGAATTACTCTTAAGTGGAGAATAATCCTCTTAAAATAAGAGGACGTTTTTTGAGCCATATACAAGAGGAAAATATGCATTGAAATAATAGAAATCCTCTTAAAACAAGAATATTTTTTTTTCAGTGTTCTTTTTATAGCGAGTATAACAAAGAACCTATTTTTTTCAGAACATCGTGACAAGAATATATTTTTTACGTAATATTTGAATTACAAGGAATTTACTTAAATTCTGTTTCATATTATATGCTAGGAAAATAGAATTCAAACGATGAATGTATATATTCATTGTTAAGAAACGTTCATCATTTAAGAATAAAATGTAAAAATTTCTTAAATTGATTTTCGCAGAAATTAAAAAAAAATACCTTACTTATAATCTTTTGAATATAAATCCAAAAATTAATTTAATTTTTCTAAGTAAATACCCACACAGCACATGATATTTCCTGAATACTTCCTGAATATTTCACTGAAAGATTGAAATATTTCATTGCAAGATTCAGGAAATATTTCTGCAAACAGGAAAATATCCGCTTATGTAGGAATATTGACGCGAAAATTGAGAAAATATTTCATTGAAATATTCCTGCAATATTACACATAAAGATTCTGCAATATTGTGAAAATATTTCAAAAAATGGAAAAATTTGTTAAACACCTCAAATCAATAGGAATTTTCTGAAATATTTTAAAACCCATAGGATATAGTAAGCCAAAAACTACTGCGCAACTCTACAGGCCATAGAAACTGAGTTCGACCAGTGCGCATCATTTCAGTTGAATATTTCCAAAATATTTCAATGAAATATTTTCTCAACTTTCGCGTCAATATTCCCACATAAGCGGACATTTTCCTGTTTGCAGAAATATTTCCTGAATCTTGCAATGAAATATTTCAATCTTTCAGTGAAATATTCAGGAAGTATTCAGGAAATATCATGTGCTGTGTGGGTAGAATAATTTTATTTTCTAATATAAGTAAAAAAATCATTTTTTTGGGTGGGGGAAGTTTGACTAAAGATTGCAGAATTAATTTATTCTCGCGATAGTTAATTTTCAGGTGCATTTTCACTTACACTTTGAATTTTGTATGAAATATCAAAAGAAGAGTCACGCTTTGTCAGTAACGGTCTTGTGGTTTCACTAACCCACATTTATCGTTGAAAGCAAAACGAATCAGACTCGTGACCCGGTTTTTACGTATATATTCAAATCTTCCTTATTTATCAAATAGATTTTCTCATTAAGCGTGCGACAATAATTAGTAAATAAAAAAAATTAGATTATAAAAAATGGTTTGAAACTTGAGAACTGGTATCATTTTTCAAATAACACGCAGGACATACAATTTTATATGGAGAGGAAAATGAGTTCTCTAGTTTTTTATAAATAATTAACTTTAATTAACTATAATAATCTTCGTATTTCATTCTTTCATTATGTCTGTCGACACTTTGAAGTTAGTTTTTTGTATGCTTTTGTTTTTATTCCTTTAAAAAATATTGTTTTGACAAATCGAAAATATGCAGGTATTTTTTCATGATTTATAATAAAGTAATATTTATAATTAAAAAATTTTTTTAAAATTATTAACAAACAAATTTTGTTTATTATATGCTTATTTCTATAACAAATTTCGTTTTACTGTTTTAAATTAAGTAAATTTTTCTGCTTTTTATTTATAAAAAATAGAAAATTGTTAATTGTTAAAAAATTATGATTAAAAAATAGGAAATATACCCATTTTATGTATAATTTTTATTTCTCAATAACAATATTCTTTTCTTTGGGAAAAAACGTTACATACTTCCGTTTCTTAATATTTTTGTAGAAAATTCTCAATTTTCATAAGAAAATAATTTGCATCATTTCTATTTCTTAATTACAAAATTGTTTTAATAAAATTCAAAGCTTTTTAAAAATGAAGGAACAATTTTTTTATAAATTCCATTTGTCAACTGCAAATTTTAATTGAAAATTTTTTTAATTTTTAGAAAATAGAGGACAAATTTTACTCAAAAAATTGTTCTATTTACGAATTTCTTTAATTGAAAAATTATTCGAAAACAGCAATAACTTCTTTTTTAAATAAATAATAATTATTATTTTTCTATAGGAATTAAGATTTTCAAAAATTTTTTTTTAAATAAATAATTATTATTATTTTTCCAGAAATATTAAGATTTTCAAAAATTTCAAATTCAAACCTTTCTGAAATTATACAACTTATAAAAGTATTTCTTCATGTTATATTTATATAATAATTAAAGATAACCGATTGATAAAATCATTATTTTATACTATAAGAATATTGTTACTAAAACTTTTTCAAAATTATTTTCATCATTTCAAATCAATTATTATTTTCTACAATTTTTAATTAAAATTCTTCTCTAACTCATTTATTTTTAATAATTTTTGAAATTAGGACAAGAATTTTATTGATATTTTTAAAAATAATTGAATTTTTAAGAAGAATTTTATTATTTATAAAAATAATTGTGATTTTTAAAAGAATTTTTTTAAAATTTTGTACATAATTGAACTTTGCAAGTAATAAAATTAATTAAATATATATATATTGAAAAATTTAACTAATTTCAAGAAGAATTGGAATTATCAGCATTTTGAAAAAATCTAAGTTTTTCAAAATTTGTAATATTAAATTGAATAAAAAATGGAAATTTTATAAAATTTTGAATTGAAACCTTTTAAAATTGATGTACTTATGAAAATTGTGAACGCAACTCTTTTAAAATTGAATTAATTTTTAAATATTTAAGTAAAATTATTCATTAAATAATTTTAATGACAGTTGTTTAAGAATTAAGTTATTTAAAAAGAAATTATTGTCAGAAATAGAAAAAAAATTGAAGGTTTTGTATTAAAATTCGTGGTGAAACAAAGAAGACACCAAAATTGAGAATTTTCTTATGAATTCTAAAAATTTAATTTTTTCCAGTACTTTTAATAAAAATCCTAGACTTTTCCCTAAAGAATTTAGAATATATTCTATTTTCCCTGTCTTAGAATATATTATTATTATAGTTGTAATAGTATTAAAACTATATTCCAATTCATATTTTATTTTTATGAGGAAAATTTGAATTAAAATTTTTTAAATTCTATTATTTTTAAAATTGCTAATTTTATTTTAAAAAGTACGTAAGAAGTTAGCCGCGCTCTTTAGCGCGCGAATTGTTGCTAGTTAACTAATAATCATTGAATATGATTGAATGTAATTGAGTATAATTAAAAATAATTAAATATACCTATTTGAATATAATGAAACATAATGTTGAATTCAATTAAATATAAAGAAATCAAATAGAATAAAATAATTTATATTTATATTTATATAATTAAAATTTCAATCAATATAATTTCCGTTTGTTGTTGTTTACGGAAAATTATTTTCTGGTCTAAAAAGACGTCAATATATAATTTTTTTGAAAATATAAATAGAAGGGAGAAAGCCTTGAAGTAATACACACTTTAAGGTTTTCCTTTTTAAACAAAAAGTTTAATATAGGTATTTCTAACTAAATATCGAATTCGCTAAAAGCAAATTTTATTTTAAGCTTCATATTAATATAACTTTTAATTAAATAAAAATTCCCTTAATTAAAATCCAGATGGTTAAAATTTACAAATTGTAAATTAAATTAACGAGGAATAAAATAAAAAATAAGTTACAAATTGTTTCACTTTGTCCACTTTAAAATACAGCGCTATCACTGGATACTAGCTAGGCCCCTGTTTTTGCCTTTTTTAAAACAAGAGTAAAATAGAGAAACATTTTTCCACAATTCTGTATTTTCGATTTAAAATAATTTTTTTTCTCATGATATTTATTATCTCTGTTTATTGCCCATGCAACATCGATTTTCCGTCAATCTATTAAAACTAACAATTGAGCTATAATTGAGAATAATTTTACTTATACTTAAAAAGAAAATATTCCCATCCTTACTATAATAATAATACATCCGATTCATTATTTTCATTCAGAAATCAACATCCGCTATTTATATCAGTCTGAGAGGTGAATTGTTTCTTAAGAAAATAAAAATACTGCAATCATTATCAGCACATTTATTTTATTCATTAAAATCAACAAATATTGTAAGTACATCACAGGAGGTTTTTTTTTTTGTTTTTTTAAAAAAATATTTTTATCCATAATCCACCATCAATATTTGTAACTTACTAGAATATTCATATAAAATTTAAATTCTCATTTTTATTTCAGAAAATATCTGGACATGACTTCAATCAATATTGAAACGTATTTCCCGATTTGGTTTTGAAAAGATACTGATCAAAAAACGATCTACATTGTCATAAAGTTTTTAGCATTCAAATTTCAAATTTATGAAATTTAATCACAATATAATATTTCAAAAGTCTTAATTTTACGTAACATAATATAAAAAGAAAATATAGAATAGATTTCAAATTATAAACATTCTTTTATATTTTTTCATTTTATTAGAAAATTTATTTTTATAATGAAAAATATAACACTATTTTTTCACTTTATGCAAAGAATAATTTTTATCATTTTTTTTCTGTTAAAACGTTTTACCATTAAAAAAGTCTTTTGATAATGTCAGGTAGTTTTCGTACAGAAAGTAACTTTTCTCTATTATTGAAAATATGAATATTCTTGTAAATTCGACATGAAGGCGGATATTGGATACATTGGACTAGATTATCATTTATAACAATGTAGTTTTTATATGGAAAATAAAGTTCAATTGCACGCGCGTAATTTAGGATAATATACATAATAGCCATTGGATGGAGGTAACCAATCGAGTTTCAAGAAGAAAATTTACTTATAATAGAGAAACTAAGCATATATACTTGAAATTTGCAATAAAAGAGAGAGAAAATATTTCGTATATTTCTAGCAATCCTCGAATGAATTGTTATAGAAATATTTTTTCCATGAAAACCAATTTTTTTAGATATGAAAAAAAATTTTAATTTTCATGGATATTTGGCATTTTTTTTAATGTTTATGTTAATATTATAAATATAATATATATTTATATTATTATATATTATAATATTGAAATACGATTATAATATTATAAGTATTATAATGATATTATAATAATATATATTTTATAATAATACATATTTTATTATAAATATAATATTTAGTATTATTCTATATATAGCCTCTATTTTAGATGACTCAATAAAGATTTCTATTCAAGCAACAAAATTTTTCTTGGCTCCAATCTGGATAAAACAGGGTATCTGACTTGAGACCGGCCTGACCCAGGTCAGAGCTCATTTTTGCACAATTTTTATTATTTTCAACTTATATTTTATAAAGTCCGAAGCAAATTTTAATAATTACTAAACTTTACTTTGGACAAAACAAAAATTTACTCCGAACGCAATAAAGTCAGAAATTACAAAATGTTTAATTTTTGCGCTTTTTGAATTGTAAAAAATAATTTTATATTTTTTTCAGTGAATATTTTTCCTTTAAGAGCAGAGAAAATATTTGCAAATTATAGTTGTCTGAATATTCATTTCATTCCTTGAGTCAAATTATTTTTTTGAAAATTTAGCTAATATAGATATTAAAGTTTTTGGACGGTTCATCTAAGCATCCCACAGTAATCAATTTGTCTCTTCTGTCAATATTAGACAAAAAAGATATGATGAAAAATTCATTATCTTTTCAATGTGATAATTTTTTTTTTGTAGATTATGAAAAAATAAATTTTTGTTTTAAAATATTTTTGCCCTTTTCATTGGAAAAAAATGAAATATTGTCTCTTTTTTGTAAACTCTCATTATTTGATCATGAGAAAAGAAATTTTTATTGTAAAATATTTTTGTCTTACTTTATTTTCTATTTTTTGTGTAAAAAATATTAAAGTTCCATTTTCTGTGAATTTTTCATCATATCATTTCTGTTTAATAAAGTTTTATAATTGTATGATTCATTGTGGATGCTGACATACACACGCATTATCTTGATTCAGTTGATTTGCAATCCAGTCCATGTAGTTTGTAACTCTCGTGTACACCCCAGGGAATCTGGGTCTTGCGCAACCTCGACCCCAAGAAATCAACCCTGAAGGGATTTTAATTTTTATTTTCATTAATTCACATAGTTGAAAAATTATTTAAATTGGAAAATAATTAATTGGGGTTTTATTATTATTATTTTCTTTATAATTACCAACAATTTCCATGAAACCGTGGGAGGCTTTCACGTGAAGAGGACCTCCACTGTCACCCTGAAATATTTTTAATTTTATTTTAATTAACTTTTTCTGATTTTATTGATTTCATTTCATCTTTGTATTTTTATAATTTTTAGTTTGCATTTTTAATTTTAATTTTCATTGTATTTTCTAATTGGTATACATTTAAATATTGATTATAATTAACTTAATATTGAAAACTTTAATGAACTAATATTAAAGAAACAAAGAAATATTTAACTAGTGCAGTATTCAACTATTTGACATTTTAACTATTTACTTCGGACTATTTAACTAAATAATATTTGCAACAAAATATTTTATACTATAAACAAAAAAAAAACTTGTTGATAGTAAAAGTTATGACAATAGTAATCATTTAATAATGATTACATAAAGATGAAGAGCTATTGTACCTGATGATATAAAGATTTGATGTAATTATTGAATGCTTACGTGGCAAGAATCATACTGCCCGTCGAGATATCCAGCACAAAACATATTGCTTGTCACTTTTCCTTCTTCATATCCAGTCTGCTTGCATTCTTCTTCGGGTAAAATGTGAACGTTAACTTTGCGCAATTCGTCACTGATAGCCTCATCTTCTCCCGTTTTACCTCTACCAACAACCACTGCTAAAGCTCCAGAGTAATCAATCGGTTCTAAGAAAAAATTTACAATAACATTTTTTTAAAGGTATACAAAGATTTTCCTAATTAAAATCTCTTTTTAGGGTTTTAGTGTGTTGTTTTACGTACAGAAAGATACTTTCACCCAAATTTTGTCGTATAAGAAACAATGGATAGAAAACCAGAAGTCACTAAACTGCCTTTTAGAATATTTATTGGAAAGACTGATGATGTTAAACATAAATTTTTAATCATCCAATATTAACACAAAACAAGAGTTGATTTTACAAGTTGACTTTGTATTAAATAAGCAGTAAATCGAGTATAAAAATACCATTAATGGTTATTTAATATTTATCGTTGTAGATACGTATGCTTTTTTATAGTAAAGAGGTTGTTGGCTAAAGACATTCAAATACTAGAGCGCAAGAAGTTGTATGGCCCAAAACTTTTGAAGTTGGACTATAAAGATAATGTAGGAAAAACTTAGAAAGAAGCACAGAATAAAGTTTAGAAAAAAGAAGGCTATGGTTATGACCATCATATACGGTTATTCCGTTTGAGATTCAATCTCGCCCCTCTGGTAAAAAAAACTATGTTCGTTTCAAAAAAAAAGTTTTTAGAATGTTTCATGCCGGTCAAATAATGTTCCAAAACATTTTATTAACATGGATGTTCAAATAATGTTCTGGAACATTATTGGTTGTTATCCCACTTGAGGTTAAATCTCTTTAGCTACCTTGCCTATGCCACCTTTGTGGTGATCTCACGTTGTGAACCTTTAAGTTAAGGCAGTGAAAACTTAAGAAATCTGCACTGTAAGATCGCTATATTTGTCAATTTCACAAAATCTCTTGGCGGTGAAACCGCTTCGTCTCTTTGATCTGACATTTACACCGGCTTATATACCCTAGTGGCTAGGTGGGGAGCCCTGTAGTGGGGAGTACTTGGACAGCGATTGGCTGCGCGTAGACTTAGATGCAGCACATGATAATATTTCTCTCTATGCGCGTTGATATTTACACAGTCAACCAATTTATAGTAATAAAATTCAATCGTTGTTCTATAATATATGACTCGTACTACCATGGGTAGTAAAAAATTTATTATGCAGAGGCTGGCAAAGCCCAACATTAAAAATTAACTGGATATTTCCAGAGTATAACACTGACAACTAGGGAATCTAAGCTTATTTTTATAATGAAGAATTCATTCACACTTATATGAAGACCTTAGGGTTTCCATTGTTAACTTCCTCATCTATTGTGAAACAGAGAAAAAGTTATAACTGTCAGTTAAATATCTGCGAAGTTTGATTCATGCGGGACCTAAAAGTCCTGACGAATACGGAAATTAGCAAAACAGGTAAAGGTGAGAAGGAAGAGGAACCAGCAGAACCACTTGGTAAACCGGCGGGAATGGTTCATTATCTTTTAAGTGTATTTAATAAGTCTAATTTAATTGTAGTCGTGGCTGGAGAATTAAACATTCCTTTGATAAATCAGTGTAAGAAGTATAGTGATTACAACACTATACTAGTTGCTAAGTGGATTGTAAGCATGCTATAAAATACAAGCTTACCAGTGCAATTTGGTCTTCAACAAGTGATATCGTGTGATGATGTGAATCGTCACACCATCTGTTGGAATTGTCCCCGAACTGTAATCGTCAATTAGTAGGGTAAGTCAGAAGACAAAGTTGCCGAATAATCCACTAGACATAGTGAAAGTGCGTCAGCTGACAATTTAGTAGTTAAGAAAGTGACAAATCTCAGGGTTCTCCTGTTTTTGGATTAATTTCTGTATTCCTGTATAGGAGATCGCCGTCCACCGTGAGGTGAGAGCGATAGGGATTTCACCGTCGTGAGTAAATTAGAGCCAAGATAGTGCCAGTCGTGTTTTGTCGTTGGCATTTCTGCTTGCTAAGTTGTTCAGGCAGAATTTCCTCTGACGATTAAGAGCGTCTCTAAGGTTTTGGAATTGTAGTTGAATTAGTTTATTAATTTGTCTTCAAAATTAATTGGCGCCTGGCGACGAAATTTATTTTAATAATTATTTTTATGTTAAAAGCGTCAGATTATGTAATGCGTTTAGCAGAAATCTTAATTTATTAAATTCGCACGTCAAATTAGTTACAAATGTTTCAAATGCTGGGAAATTTGACTTGTTGCTCAGCAAAACTTGTTCACTAATATTTGTATTGCAGATATTATTTTTAAAATTTGTTTTGTTTCGTACTCCTGGCAATGCTTTAGTATTTGTTCTGGTGAATCTTATTTACCATATCTTGTGCAGAAATTTTCCCACTTTGCCCTATTTAAAACAAGGCACTTACAAAAGCCTCGCCAGTTTTCCTAGTTTCAGAAAAATGTAAATAAAACTAAGTTTTAAAAGTTTTTGTGTCGTGAAACTGTTATTAATAATGTTGCTGAGTAAGTCGCAGTAGATTGAGTTTTGTTCCCTGCTATCGAGATATATCAAGTGGGAGGTTTGACATCAAGGTAAAATGGATGTACACTGTCGATTATTGTCCGATACACACCATTAGAAATCGATTGTCCCTAAACTAGTTGCACGATTTTCTACTGTTTCCCTCTTCTCTGATCTTTAACAGAAAACACTTGTACTGAGATATTATGGCAAATAAATAAATGATGAGGAATTTGTCATAATACTAACTCCCTTCATCAACACCCGCGCGAGTTATTTATTCCTTGGGGATAACTCCCCAAGGGACAACTAGACAACTAGTTTATGCATTTGGGTGTAAAGTTTTAACTCTCTTTATCCAACTCCCCTGGCATTAACTCCCCAACGGGTGCGACTTTTGTAGAATCCCCTGGGGAGTTAAAATTTAACTCCCTTTTTTTTACAGTGTAATAATAAAGTTCTGGATTGAAAGAATGAAAGCTCTAGAAAGGTTTAAGAGCTGCCGGAAAGGGCACTGGCGATCATAAGAAATTGTTGCAATCAGACTAAAACATGAGCATTCCTATTTCTCACTTTAAAGATCCTAAACTATAAGCAAGGCAACTTTACGGAGCTAATAAAAATCCTTGCATTGCGCTTACACTCTCGAAAGATAATTGCATCAGAATTTGAGACAAGAGAGTACTGCTCTATGATCACTAAGCTAACAACAACACAAAATTATTTCACATTAGGTACTCAGTCTGCTTTAGAAAAGTTAAGGAATCCGACTAGTGAATCAAAAACTGATCTGTACGGAAAAATGTTGAAAAGACTGCTGGTTTCGTACAGGAGAGTAATTTTCTCATATTGATGCGCGGTATTATAGTTAATATAGCACAATATTACTATAGTAAGTAGAAGAGCTCAATAGCAAACTTTTCCGTGAAAGAATGACGAAGGACATAATTAGATGCTCTTCAGACAACATTGAATGTCTCGCTAAATAAACTTTTGATAATCTGGTTACCGGAACTTAACGTCATTTAAGGTAATCAATACTTGGGTTGAAGTAAACATAAAACCACACAATAGCAACTCGAATATAAATTCAGTTTAACAGCCTCCTTATAGAATAACTATAAAAATTACAAAAAGTAGAATATTTTTTTATTTCTTTCAACTTACTATCTTCTGGAAGGCAGGCAGTTTGGATACTTCCGTCGAGTGGTACTGGTCGATCAAGTTCAATTATACCAATGTCATTATTTTTAGAAGTACTATCATAATCTTTATGTACTCTAAGAGATGCTACACCACGTTTTATTAAATATTCCTTACTATTAGGTAAATTGTTATCGGCCAAAATAATCAAATAGTCCTGCGGATCGTCGCTGAAATCATTGTTTTCCATGAAAAAATATCTTAGTGAATTAAAAATCATCAATTGCCTTCTTATTGTGGAAGTAATTTGCTAAACATTTTATGACAAAAATATAATGAAAATTCTAAAATATCCGGTGGTTTGTGGATGAATACTCAGATCGCTGACGAAATAAATGAATGAATAAATAAATCTGACATCTTATTTCTAATATTCATTTTGAACCTCAAATTCTGAAGCGCATTTTCTCCAATTTCACTTTTTACGATTTTTACAAACTACTAGGTAGGCGTGATTGACGGAAAACGCATAGTCCGATTTGAATGATGGATGGCTTGTTTTGTCAGATTTAAAAATTCAAAATGTCGGAACCATGTGGATGAATTTTTTAAAATGTAAATTAATAAACTTTCGTCAATAATTTATCTTAACTCGACAACATTTTAATATTTCTTTTGTCAAAAATAAATTTTAAATAAAAATATCTTTAACATAATGGATCTAACTTTTCACACAGTATCTGAACGTGAAGCAAAAATTTTTAGTTAGTAACATTTTTTCAATGTTCTTATATAATAGAGAATATGTAAAATCTAAATAAGTTAAAAAATGGAAAATTGTTAACTTACGTGAATAAACAATGGCTAGCGGTAAGAATATGCTTTTGAGTAATAAGACTGCCTCCACATTGATATTTTCCTCCAATATGAATGCTGGCGATCCATGGAAATTCAAAGAACTCCGTTAAGTTTCCATTCACGATTCTACTTGTTCTACTGATCCCACAAACTAAACAATTAGTTGAAAATTTCTTTGTAATTTTTTGTGAATTTAAAAAATAATAATCGTGAAAAAAATACCAATTTTTCTTCTTCTTTGATATAAAATACATTGTAAAATTTCAGAATAATTACCACAATCATAGCATATCCGCGGTCTTCTAGATGATGATGCGTCAAAATCTATGTACGATATTTCATCTAAATCTGAATTTCCTAATTGTGATTTAGTAATATTATAGTGAACTTGAGCATTGGATTGAGGTAAATTTGGTTCTCTTCTTCCAAATATCTGCAAATTGTGACACAATTAGTCTCCTATTAATTTAAAAAAAAAAAAAATTCCGTTTTTAACTATGGGCACAATTCTTTCACAGTTAAAACAAAATTTTTTTTTCATAAACAATAAATTTCATTAAAGGGAAGAATTTTCCTTCTGCCCATTGTTTTCAAGTTTTTTTCCGCAATTAATAAAAGAAATTTTTTTTTAAAAGTGAAAAATTTCATCAAAGGGAAGAATTTTACTTTTTTTCATTGTTTTAAAGTTTTTGCCCACAGTTAAAACAAGAAAATTTGTTTTTAAAAATACATAAATTTTATTGATAAAAAGAATTTTCTTTTTCCCCATTGTTTTCAAGTTTTTGCCCATAGATAAAATAATAAAAAAATTTTTTAAAGCAAAAAAAATTTAGTCCTTTTCACATTATTTGCAAATTTTTGACCACAGTTCAGTTAAATATTATTTCCATGATTCATTGTGAAATTCGACCATAGTGTAAAAGTTATTTCCGAAATATGGGAACCGAATTTTTGAACGTGGTGTTGAAAAGTTCTTGTGCTTTGAGCCATTGTTAATCAGTTTTTGGACAAAGTAACTTTGCTTGAAGTCCGTAAAAGTCCGTTTTTTGACAAAAGATCCGTAAAGTTCGTAAGTTCATTAAAAAAGGATGAAAAGTTCGTAAATTGTACGATATAATTTAAAGAATTCTAGAGAAATTACAAATGATTGCAGAAATTCAATTATTTTCAAAAGTAATAAAATTCTTCGCAGAAATTCAATTCTGTTCAAAAATTGTTTTAAATTCTCGTCAAAATTTCAATTATCTTTAGAAATAATTAAATTCTTCTCCAAAATTCAATTATTTTCAAATATTTTAATAAAATTTTTGGCAAAATTTTAATTATTTTCAAAAGTTTTCCTCAATTCAATGATTTTCAATAACTACTATTTTCATAAAATTTTCCAAAAGAATTCAATCATTTAAAAAAAAATTTAATAAAATTCTACACAAACTTTTAATTATTTTCAAAAAATAATAAAAATTTCACAGGAATTTCATTATTTACAAATTTTATTATAAATTTCTTCGCAATCATTCAATTATTTTCATAAATAATCAAATTCTTTTTAGGAATTCAAGTATTTTCATAAATAATGAAAATCATTGCAGAATTTCAATTATTTTTAATACAATTTTAAACGAATTCCTCGAAAGAATTCTTAAAAATTTCATTAAAATTCATCAAAAGAATACAGTTACACTGAGAAAACATTATACTAAATTTAAATAGAAAAATAATATTAAGTGATTTTATTTAATTGAAATTAGTTTGTAAGCTTAATCTTAATATATAGAAAATATCTACTGCTTTGATTATTCAAAAATATTATTTGTTTGAATAATTATGTTTAATTCAAACATATTTTCTGTTTTGATTTAAACAAAAAATATGTTTAAAAATTTTATGTTTGATTTAAACTTAAAAGTTGATTATAAATAATTTAAAATCAACCACAACTTATGTTTGAATTAAATATATTATTTCTTTAAATGAACCAAAAACTATGTTTCAATTAAACTTTAATATGTTTGACTGTATAGCAAAGATATTTTAAGTTTGATTTAAACAAAATATATTTGAATCAAATAAATCGTTTTTTCAGTGTATTTAAAAATTTATAGATTTTCTTTATGAGAATTCAATTTTAAGAAACATGCAATTATTCAATAAATTGTTATTTTTGTATGTATTTAAATAATTGAATTCTAGTAGAATTTTCTCATAAACATTGATTTTAAAATGGATTTCAATTAAAAGTTTAGATTATAATTGAATTTTAAAAGCATTAGTAAATACATTTTTAGAAATAATTGAATTTTGAAAAGATTTCAGATTAAAATGTTTGAAAATTTGAATTTTTTATATTTTTAACTAATAATTCTGTGAAATTAATTTTTTTTTGAGAAACTTTAATTGCGTATTTTTTTAAAATTATTTCAAGTTTTTATTTTCTAATATATATTTAATTAAAGAATTTACTAATAATAGAAATTTTGTAAAATTAAATTGTAAACAAATCAATTTGAAAATTCTTAAAGAACTTTTTCAAAAATTATTCAAAATAATGGATTTATAGAAGTTGTTTAGTTAAAAACACGAAAAAATAAATTCAATTTTGTAAAAGTTACAAATTATTGCAAAAATTCAATTATTTTCAAAAGTAATAATATTCTTCGCAAAAATTAAATACTATTCAAAAGTAATAAAATTCTTCTTAGGGATTTAATTATTTTCACAAATAATAAAACTCATCGTAGAATTTAAATTATTTTTAATACAATTTTAATCGAATTTCTCGAAAAATGTAATTATTCTTAAAAATCCTATTAAAATTCGTGGAGAGAATTCAATTATTTGAAAATTTGTTGATAACGATTCTTTATGGAAATTAAATTTTATTTTTAAGAAACATTTAATAAATTATTTATTTTTGTATTTAAATAATTAAATTCTAGTAGAATTTTCTAATAAAAATTGATTTAAAAATGAATTACAGTTTAAATTTTATATAATAATTTAATATTAAAAGCAATATAGCGTGAATTATTAAAAATAATTGAATTTTGAAATTAATTTTTTTGAAAAAGTTTAATTGAATTTTTTAAATATTATTTTAAGTTTTTATTTTCTAATATTTATTTAATTGAAAAATTTACGAATAATTGAAATTTTCGTAAAATTGAATATTGTTAACAAATAGATTTGGAAATTGTCGAAGAACCTTTTCGAAAATTATTAATAATAATCGATTTAAAGAAGAATTTCATAGTTAAAAATTATTCTTGTAAATAATAATTAAATTGTAAATGATTTTATCATTCAGTCATCTTTAATTATTATAAAACATAAAGAAATCGATCACTCCGAGTCGAAGACTCGGAGTTACCGAAATCTTCATGTTTTATAGTTATGAAAAATTTAATTTATAGTTTTAAGTAAAATGTTCTCTTATTTGACTCGGACTGGTTAAATTTTTTCAGATAATTGGTCCGTAAATGGTCCGTAATTGTTCATTTTTGGTCCGTAAAGTCCGTATTTTTAAATACTTTCACTGGTTCAATCCCTGAATAGTACTTTCTTGTATTTCCCTTATTTTTTCTCTTCAATAAATTAAGTCACGTAAATATGATAAATTTTTCTTATTTAAAAATTATTATTTTGCTCTGATTAAAAAATATGATTACCATAATTACAGAATTTCATTTACGATGGGGGCAATGAGATATGCTCCTTGTCAGTTTATGATGTGAGCATATATTTACTCCTATCAGAAAATAACAATCTTTATTTTAGATACATTTAATAAATTATTTCTCATCTTGTGAGACTAAAATAAGCACTGTAAATAGAGGAATTTTAAATTTGTAATAAATGTTCTTTAAATTTTAAATCAATGTCTATTACGATAAAATATTTCAAGAACATTTTTTCCTAATTTTTCAAGTATAGAACACATATATTTTTTTAAAAAATTATATTGAAGGAGATTTACATCTATTTGTCATAATCATTACTAAATTTTTTACTAAAATCAGTAATCTTTTTTATTTGCAATTTTAAAAATAAGTCGAGAGGAAAAATTGTTTTTTTTTCTCGTAAAATCGAAAATTTAAAATAGATATGACAACCCTGACATAATATTTGGTCAATTTTGTCATGACTAACAATATGGGGACATTATTTTACTGTTGAATATTACGTATTAAGTGAAATGCACATGTGGAGGCATATCTTAACATGCATTATAACAAAACATCACTCATTACGAAAAACTATGTTAACCGGGAGTCTCGACATAGGTAAGACTAGTAAGCTACGCATTACACGTGACTCTGAGGTGTTTAACCCGCGCATTCCCTCCCACACTTTATGTCACAGTTCAAATTGAAGGAGATGAAAACGTGCTTTTTTAAATAAACAATATATACAAATTTTTCGCCTCTAATTCTCAATCTTTTATTGCTTCTTTTTAAGATAAAAAAAATTATAGTAAAAAGTGACTTAAATGTGCATTTTTAATTGAACTAATTTCAATTAGTTCAATTCTTTCTCAAACGTAAGTAATAATATCTCAACCGTAAATAAAATGTGGATCAAATAGTTTGGAAATAAATTCTTATTTAATAGTTTTATGAAAATTTGCAATGGATCATATTTTTTCTAACTTTTAACTTTTGTTTATATTTAATGTGAAAAATGTTCAAAAATCAAAAGTTGTTTTATCAAGAATGAACATTACTTTTAATAAAGAAACTTTTCGAAAGCTCATGATTAATGAACCTCTTAAAATTGTCAAAGAGGGTGAAATAAATCATACTCAGTTTTGAACACCACGTATAGAAAGGGTAATTCACAAACTTATAATATATTTGAGGAGAGAAACGAAAAATAAAAAAAAAATTTTTGTTACTTACTTTAAGAGGGGTGGCTGAGATGAAATAATTTTCAAAAGATGTGATGAGTAGACACGCGATGATGTATATTTTCTTCATATTAAATTCAATTGGTACCTCCAATGGCTTATTTTCTTACCTCGTCAATTTATTCGCGTGTCGCGTGCCGAACGTGAGAAGTAAAGATTGAGATGGTTTTGCCGTTTTATAGTATATTATAACTAATAAAGCTGCCACATCTGGTGGGGATTTTCACCTTGAATGGCGCGTTTGTATTGGCAAATGTGTTGGTGTGTCGTAGGTTTTTAAATCACCTGTTGCTATTGTTGTCTCTTCCCGTGAAGAAAGACCCAACGGGATGGCGTAATTTTTTTTTTCTTTTTTTCTCCTTTTTTTTAAATCAAACTTATCTACCAATGTCAGCACGTGGAAACCTGTACGTCTCCTTGTTTCGATGCACAATAATTCGAGCATATCAATTTCAATTTCGTCAGACCCACCAAAAATGAAAGTTGTGTGCATCACTCGTTTTTTATCGAATTAAATTGCATTCGAGACCATCTTCGGTACATCATGCTGGAGTTTCACTTTCATATTGCGATGAGATGTTTTTCATTAAAATTCGAGTTTTATGAACTTTATTGTCAGTTTACATTGTTTATCAATTCTTCATTATATTGAAGTCTTATTTATGAAGGAAGAAATAATGTCTTTATTTGTCAGATTCTAAATTTTTTTATTACTTGAAAGGGATTATAATTTCTATTAAATATAGTTAAATTTATAATAACAATAATGATAATATAACAATAATCGATTTACAATTTTGTCTATAAAGAACGCCAAAATTAAAATGCTACTTAAAAGTGACGCGTTTTAAATAAAAATGCCTAAGAAGCAAACAATTTTAGGTTATGTTTGAAATTTTTTGAATTAAAATACAGGAAGAGGATCAATTCTCAATATAAACCATTGTTGCTTAAGGCTTCATTGCATCTAAAATAATTAATAAAAACTGATTTTAGTTTTAAATTAAACACAGAAACTTTTAATTAAGGTAAAAATAACATAAATATAACCTAAAAATTATTTTCTTCTTAGGAACCTTTTTTCGGCGCGCGTCAGAAATAATAAAAAATATAATATGATAAATAATAATAACTTTAGTTTCAGCCCCTTTTCATAGGGTTAATTTATTCAAAACTTAAATTAAACTTCTTAATCTTAATTAATTTAAATTCAAACTTCAAATTTGGTTCGTTTTCTGTCGATCGCAAGCCAAGTATTAAAAAAAATTATTCTAAATTTTTAAAAATAAAGTAAAGTTCAGATTAATATTATTTCTTAATAGAAAACCAAAATTTAAAACAGAGATTAATAAAAAAATTTTATTCCACATATTATTGATTTAATTAATGTTCAATGTTACAATATCAGAAGTAGAAACTTGAACTCATTTTTATATTGAATTTTTATTACAAAGTCATTGAGATGAGTCTCGAGACTTATAACAATTTTAAAATCAGGTCGAACTAGATGAGTACTTGCCCTTGCTCTCAGTTCCATAAACTTGTGGTTGTAATTAGAAAGAAAAAAGTTTAAATGTTTTCTTCGAAACATTTATATTATTGACTCTCAATAAGAAAAGTAGAGAGTAACTAGGTTTTTAGACAAAAACTTAATTATCTGAATAAATTATGTGAAGATGTGGTGACTAACTAAAGAAGAAGAATAAGTTTTCAGTAATTCGGTTTGGAAACTCTAGTTGCTTATATTACTTAGTTATTCTGAAGGCACGGAAAATATTTGGCGGAATTTATATGAGACTCATTTAAATTGTTAATTTAATAGCGAGCTAGTTTCCTTGTGAAAATATAGATATAAATTTCTTTCTTAAAATAATATTTAATTATTTTCCAACACTGGGAATAAAAAATACAAAATTAAAATAAACTAAATGGAAAATAATTTATGAATTGTAATCTGTTTACTGTTGCGGTAAATACATTGAGAAAAGTTTGGAAATTGTTAAAATTATATTAATTTCATTCTTTGAGGTTGCTCTTTGAGTGGAATTCCTGAGATATAGTCAGACGAAAAGTACAGACATTCTTTGGTTGGAGATTAAAATAAAATTTTTTCTCCCGTCGATAATTAAAAATTACTGAAGCCATTAATTTCTAATCATTTTAAATTTTCAGTATCTTTTAGATTTTTCTTACTTTGAAGCTTAAAGAGTTTTTAATTTTATCATCTAAAGTATTCCTCAATGATAAATTAATTTTGAAATTGTTTCGAAACATTCTACTAAAATTCAAATCTAGATGAATATTAAAATTATCAACAAATCTACAATGCCTTGAAATTAAATGCGTACGGAAAAATAATAATTTAAAGTTATTAGTTACGCTGTTGAGCTAGAGGCAATTCATGGTTTGCAATTAATGAGTCAAGTAATAATAAATGTTATTTTATGTCCAGTAAAAAGAAAGTAAAATTTATGTCATAGTTCCGCACCTAAAATAGAAAAACATTTCTAATAAATGTATATACAAGTTGTTTTTTTAATATCCATACTAATAATCCTCAAGTTAATGAAAATCTCATCCTCGATTCGTATTTTGAAAAATGCTACAAAAGTAAACAAATTTAATTGTTACGTGCATCCCTCATTTATATGTAATGTGTACATTTTCAACTTGTATAACTATTATTAAATTTTTATCAAAAGACTGATGCATAATTCCACTATGTAATAAAATGCATAATATTTTTTTTACGAATTGAATGAAAAGAAAAGTGGGATGTGACCCTGGTCACTTTGTTTGGGATAAAGAAAAGCAAGGATTTTTGATAATAAAGTGTCAACATGAACATGTTAAGACATTAAAGTGAGGCGCCTCACCCGCATGAGGGTGTCGTGACCCATATACCTTGACCCACTGTTATGGGTTACAGGTAAGACTATATGCAATCTCTCCTGACAATTATTATCTTGGTCTGCGAGTTAAATTTCCGATAAGACACGAATCATACACATTTAATTGCGTCCTTCTAAGATACGACCGAATATCACTTAAACTAATCGACAAAAAACGACGAAATAGGTTAGCAAATCCTAATCTTTATCACACTTCATAAATTGAACAATATTTTTTAACAATTTTTTTTGCAGATCCATTGAACAAGTTAAAAATATTGTATTAATTAAGTTAAATCATTTTCAATTAAAGAATAAATAAATAAAAAAATCAAATTTTTTGACTTTCTTTTAATTTTAAATGAAAGTTTATCTGGAAGTTCCGGAAAGTGTTAATTATTCTTTCTTTTTTGCCTTTAAAGATATTTTTCCTAATTGATTATTTGTTGATGATGTTTATTTATTTTTTCGACAGAAATTAACATACGACTAGCCTAAATTTTTTGCACGGGGTACTAGTTTGTCCAGTATTCCGTATAAATAAAGATGTGGCACAGAAATTGAAGCCTGTGTGAAAGTGTCTGTCGAGTAGGCCGGCAGTTTTGCCGATCGAATTAAAACAATACGCGTATAGTTTCATTCGCACATTGGAAGGTGTATAAGGAAGCACATGAGTTGTTTCGCCGTTGGCACCAACCAAGGATGCACGTCACGTTAACTCTCCTGATCTTTGTAGTCGCATCAGTCACGAGAGTATTATCTGATCAGGTAAGGGTGAATAATTTTTCTTTTCTTGTCTGGGGATTTATATGACTTTCATTTACCCTCGCATGATTGGTATTAGATAATACCCATTCTTTATTGAAAGTAGTTTTAAAGAGAAGAAAAAAATTATATGCTTCTTGCAAAAAAGTTTATTTCCCTTTCATTATTTAATAATTATTTAACTGTAGAACTGTATTTTTACAGGAAAATAGTAATCTAACGCCGAATGCAACAAATTACATATGGCCTGATTGGTGGCAACAAATTTTTGTCCCAAGACCATCGACTACTGTTAGACCTGTGCAACCTGATACACCTTCTGTTCCACTATCATGTCCTTCGTCTTGTGGTACGTTTTTTGATAACAAAAACTAATTCTTTTTCGATTTGTAACAATTGTTTTTATTCTAGATTGTGGTCTAACAAATAAACAACACAGAATTGTTGGCGGAGTGGAAACACAAGTTAACGAATATCCATGGATGGCATTATTGTTCCATAAAGGACGATTTTATTGTGGTGCTAGTGTAATTAATTCTCGATATGTCCTTACGGCTGCCCACTGTGTAGTTGACAGGTATTTCACAACTTTTTAATCATTCCATTAACGTCTACTTTTCCTGTGATTCAATTTTTTTATGCTATCCGGATAAAGAAATAAAATTAATGATCATTAATAAATTTACAGATTTGAAAAGAACTCAATAACTGTTCGAATATTAGAACACGACAGAAATTCAACAAACGAATCAGAAGTACAAAATTTTCAAGTTGAAGAAATTATTCGACATGGAGATTATTCGACACTAAATTATGACAATGATATAGCTCTGATTAAAATTGTCGGGCAATTCAAATTTCAGGGAAAAATGAGACCCGTCTGCCTGCCTGAAAAAAGTAAGTTTTTTTTGTAAGGATTTTTTGGATTTATAAATAACAGTACAATTTAATAAATAACAAATGAAGCGGTATAAATTTTATGATGAAGAATAAGGAAAAAAAAATCATTAGCATTTTCCTTATGCAGGCAAAACTTTCTCCGGCATGACAGGCGTTGTCACAGGATGGGGTGCCATTGAACAATCTGGACCGGTTTCATCTGTTTTACGAGAGGTCATGGTACCCATTATGTCGAACGCAGAATGTCGTACTAGTCGATATCCAGCTCGAAGAATTACTGATAACATGCTCTGTGCTGGATACAAAGAGGGGTCAAAAGATTCATGTCAGGTATTTATATATATATATATATAAATAAAAACTTTTCTGACAAAAAGAAGAAACTTCTACAAAGTCTCCGAAACAAAGTTTCTAGACTAAAAGCATCGAAAAGTTTTCCTTTTTACTAGAAAAACTCAATTAGATACTATCTATACTATTGGAAAACAAAGCTAGAAACTCGTGTAAAAATAGTCAGGATAGAATCATATCTTGAAGGTAATAATTAATTTTATTATCTTCTGTTAATAAACACTATGAAACATAAATATACGTACATCAAATTTCTTACTCTAATAATGCAGAATTAATTTAAAATGATTGCTATTATTATCTAGATTAAGCTTATTCTTATCCACCATAGTGTTATGGGTACACGGAGAAAATTTGTTCCCTATATTTTACCGAATTTTTCAATAAAGTTGGGATATAGTAGCATAATCGTAATTTTTAATAATTTTTATATTATTTTTTCGGTAACAATATTTAAAATCTAATGTGATATCTTTATTCCTTAAGAACTAGTACTGTAAAATTTGAAAAAAAAATTGAAACTGAACGTTTAATGTAAATTAAATAAATACCTCCTTGATGGGCACTAACGTTTCAGGAATAGTTCGGTAAAACTTTCTTGACTTGCCTAAAGTGTTAGTTTTCAGGAATAGTTCGGTAAAACTTCCTTGACTTGCCTAAAGTTTTAGTTTTCTGGATTGAAATACTTTATTTCAAGTGTCCCGCAGTCAAATGAAAGACTTTCACACTAATAGTTGATTTTTCCAACTTATTTAGACTTAATTAATAAGCATTTTATTATTATTTAAATTAAAATTCAATTAATTAATTATTTTAAACACTTATTAATTGCCAAATATGTAATAAATGCTTTTAAATCATGTAAAAAGAAAATATAAAACGGCAATAACATACTTATTTTTTTAACATAAAATTTATTCATTTTAATTAAATATGAATAATAGTAAGTAAGTAAGCAAGTAAACATAAGTAAGTAAGCAAAAAGGAAATAACTTGCTTGCTTACTAGCTTACTTTCCTTCTTGCTTACTTGCTTACTTGCTTACCTACTTATTTGCTTACTTCCTAATTTCCTTCTTGCTAACTTGCTTGTTTTCTTTCTGCTTACTTACTTCCTTATATGCTTACTTGCTTACTTTCTTATTTCCTTCTTGCTTACTTTGCTTACTTGCTTATTTCCTTCTTGATTACTTACTTTCTTATTTGCTTATTTCTTTCTTGCTTACTTTGCTTACTTGCTTATTTCTTTCTTGCTTACTTCCTAATTTCCTTCTTGCTTACTTGCTTGTTTCCTTTCTGCTTACTTACTTCCTTATATGCTTACTTGCTTACTTTCTTATTTCCTTCTTACTTACTTTGCTTACTTGCTTACTTTGCTTACTTGCTTATTTCCTCCATGCTTACTTTTCTTACTTGCTTATTTCCTTCTTGATTACTTACTTTCTTACTTGCTTATTTCCTTCTTGCTTACTTGCTTGCTTCCTTTTTGCTTACTTACTTCCTTATATGCTTGCTTACTTTCTTATTTCCTTCTTGCTTACTTTGCTTACTTGCTTATTTCCTCCTTGCTTACTTTGCTTACTTGCTCATTTCCTTCTTGATTACTTACTTTCTGATTTGCTTACTTTCTTACTTGCTTATTTCCTTCTTGCTTACTTTATTCCTTATTTGCTTACTTGCTTATTTCCTTTTCGCTTTTTAATACCTCACAATTATTATTTAATATTTCAGAAAGATTAATTTTCTATTAATTAATTTAATAATTTCCAACTTGCACTTTTAATATGTATATTTTTAATTTTAAACACAAAAATTTGAAAATAATAAGGATTTTCATAAATTATTGTTTTATTCCATTAAATACAAATTTAAACATTTTTCTTTATAATAATAAAAACATAATTTAAAAATATTTCATAAATTGACCTTGAATATAGTTAGAAATGATTCATTAATATAAATAATTTTTAATTTTGTACAACGATAGTTTATTAATTTGAATCTTTCTCACAAGCGGTGAAATAAAATTGAGATTAATATATAAGGACAGTTGAAACTTTCTGAAGCATTAATGTAAAGCGTGCGATGTGTGTATTAGTGTATGCGTTTAGAATGTACTGTAGGCAGGTGTATCAATTAGTATTTGTTCGTAAACAATTGTAGGGGGTTTAGGTAGTGATTAAAGTAGGTAAATTGAGAGTTACGGCAGTATTAATATAGATCTACTGAAGTAACATTATTTTTTATTTTTGTTCTTCAAGTTTTACCGAACTTTCAGTAAATTGCAACTCGTCAGTTTTACCGAAGACTTTAACTTACGTTTTACCGAACTATTCAATAAATTGCAACTCGTCAGTTTTACCGAAGACTTTATCTTACGTTTTACCGAACTATTCAATAAATATGAATGTAGCGAGCACTTGGCTTACGTTTTACCGAACTGTAACTGAAGCGCTAATACATGTATCGTGAGCTTTATGATTTTTACATTATTTTTCAATGCAATTTCTTTTACAGTCTAGTTCTTGAAAAATTACTGTTTTGACACTTCATCCCAGTTTTACCGAACTAAATTCAGTAAAATTTCAGGAATAAATTTTCTCCGTGTATTGTTTCTAGTTTCCTTTGTCCATAATGGTTTCGGCTCCATTAACACTCACCCTATAAAAACTTTACCTTGTATACTATAACGTCTTCTAGTTTTCATCAATATTTTCAACCTCTATCTATTCTTACTTACAATTTACATATATTTTCAGAAATCACAATTTTATACAATTTTCTTCATTTCAATTTACTCCGAACTTGACAATAAGTTTTCTATACTGAATTTTGAATCGTATACTCCGTTTCCTTAGTTGCTTTTGATCCTTTTTTTCTTTTTGCATTACCATAAGATATGTTCTTTCGACAATCTCCATTTTTCTCTACTTCTCTTCCCATTCTTTGATTCTTCAAAGTGTATGTTCGGATATCGAACGAACTGCATATTGTCCTCTACGAAGTCTTGTGCACTTCCAGTAAACTTCCCCATTCTATCTTTTGATCGTTGATACAGATCTACACAGCACCGAAAATTTCCTGAAAGTTGAAATTAGCTTGACCGCAACCTTCGAAATCTTTTGTGCAAAGCTCATGAAACTTTCATCATTTCTTTAAATGCCCCAGATAGCACGTAACCTTGTGGTAAGCTTACCGTAACCTAGCAATAATGATAAAATTTCAGCCCAAGGTTCCCGTAAAGTTACCATAAAGTTAAAATATCCTACCTGTCGTAAGGTTACACTGAAAGGTTACGGCAATTTTCAAAATTTTGGTTTTTAAATATACGCGCGTATTAAGCAATAAAAATGATAAAATAGATAAAAAAAACTTAAAAATTTTTCGTTTTTAAAATTTACAGCAATTCTTTTGTAATCTTGCGGCAACCTTATAGTAACCTAATGTCAACCTTGCAATAACCTTATATCAAGCTTATAGAATACCATTGTGGCAACCTTACAGTGTAATCTTACGACAGGTAGGACATTTTAACCTTATGGCAACCTTGCACTGCAATCTTAGTAACATTACATGGTAAGGTTACAGTAAGCTTACCATAAGGTTACGTGCTATCTGGGGCGCCCGATGTTATTCAATATTTAACGTAAAAGTTGACTGAACGTGAACATTGCATGAGAGCTGAAGAAATTTTAAACTTTCATGCAATGTTCAGTCAACTTTCGCGTCAAACATTGAAAAATAGTCGAAATTTAAATAATTACTTTAACTTTAAAGAGCCTCGTAACTAAAGATTCCGAACATTGCAGTCAAGGTAATTTCAACTTTTAGAAACGTTTCGATGCTGTGTGGGAGGTGGCCATTAAAAACACAGGCCTGCATGGTTTTTTTATTTTCGATATCAGAGTTGTTTCTTATGTAGTTTTGTCTGCTAAACACGATCCTGGGTCTCAAAACTGACCATCACGTCAGAGGTTTGAGAAAAGTGGGGGTTTATAGCCCAAAAAACGTGTTTTTGAGGGTTTTCAACATTTCTTTTCTCTTTAACCTGGCGTGCTAGAGACTTCCACAAGGTCTTAAATTAAAGCTTTAAACGTGAATTTTAAGACTCATATGCAAAAGACCAAAAAAAATCAAGGATTTGGAAAAAAATGAGGGTACAGACCCCAAAAAAATTTTTTTTCGTAATTTTTAATATCGGAGTTGTTTTAAATGTAGTTTTGTACACTGAACTTGATCCAGTGTCCCAAAATTGATTATCACGTCATGATTTTGAGAAAAGTGGGGGTTAAGAGCCCAAAAAATTTTTTTTTGTTAGTTTTTATGTCGGAGTTACTTCTAATATAGTTTTGTACACTGAACACGATCATGGGTTCCAAAATTACTCATTACGTCAGGATTTTGATAAAAGTGTAGATATAGAGCCCAAAAAACGTGTTTTTGAGGGTTTTTAACATTTTTTTTCTCTTTAACCTGACGTACTAGAGACTTCCACAAGGTCTTAAATTAAAGCTTGGATTGTGTACTTTAAGACATATATGCGCAAGATAAAAAAAAATTAAGAATTTTGAGAAAAGTGGGGGGTAAAGAGCCGAAAAACGTGTTTTTGAAGGTTTTCAACGTTTTTTTTTCTCTTTTTGGGGTAAGTACCCAAAAAAATTTCTTTTGTTCCGACTGGCAAAGGTGAAACATTAGTTCGTTCTAATAGGTAAAGGTGAAATAAGAAATTGGTCCGACCAATAAAGGCAAGGTATCAGTCCGACCGGCAAAGGTTTTTTGGGCTCTTTACCCCCACTTTTCGCAAAATTCTTAATTTTTTTTGGTCTTAAAGTGCACATTTCAAGCTTTAATTTAAGACCTTGTGGAAGTCTATAGCACGTCTGGTTAAAGAGAAAAGAAATGTCGAAAATCCTCAAAAACACGTTTTTTGGGCTATTAACCCCCACTTTTCTCAAAATCCTAACGTGATGGACAATTTGGGACCCGGTATCGTGTTCAGCAGACAAAACTACATAAAAAACAACTTCGTTATCAAAAATAAAAAAAGTCGAATTTTGCAGGCCTGTGTAATTATTACTTTTGTTCCCAAATTGATTGGTGCTTCTTCCATATTTCATAATTTGAATATTTTACACTTTTCAATATTTAAAATATTTTTCTAACAGGGTAAGTGTGCCAATTGCTGCGGATGCTTCAATTCCTGCGAGTTTTTGAAATGTGTAATTATTTATTATTTAAGAAAATATTAATCTTTAAAAAATGTTGAAAAAATTATTTTGTACAATACTTGATATAATTATCTATAAAGATTTACTTTTAAAATAAAATTACTTTAATTATTTAACTTTAAATTCTGCTTACCGCAGAAACTGCAACATGATTGTGAAATGTATGTGCTTCAGTTGCTGCGGGCAAAATGACATCTAAATGCATGTTATTTTGTCCGCAGAAACTAACGCGCAGCATTTGACACAGCGCGCAGAATTAGGCGCTTTTGATATCCTTTTTAATTATTTTAATTTAATTAAATGCTATAATTTTATAGGTTATTCATTTTTGTAAAAATTTCTTAAGAATACAAACAATTTGTTTCATAAATTTTAAATTTAATTCTTTTGCTATAAATATTTTTTTTCTATGCAAAAGATATCTTGGTTAGAATGCCGCAGAAACTAGTGCACTTACCCTAAAAAAATTGAAACTTAACGAGAAGACAACAAACGTCAAACAATGATAGGAAATTTAGATTGATTGTTGGGTAAAATAGTTAATTGAGAAATTGTTGTTTGGAGAAAAAGAATTCAGGAAAATGATGTTTTTGGATATTGGGTTTTTTGAACATTCGGGTTTTGTATCATTCAGGATATTGGATGTTGGTAATTAACCGGGAATGAACTTTTAATCTATTCTAGATTGCATTTCCTCCATTACAGCACTAGTCTCTCTACATTTTACCCAGAAAAGTCTAACCTTCGGAAAAGAAGGACAATTTCTTATTTTACTGTTCATTCGTAAAATTCAACTTGAATTCCTGTATGAGCGATATTATGCTTTCTAGTCCATATAAAAATTCTCATGTTTGCTTTTTTTGGATCTCATAAAATTTCAGCATCTCACTTACCTTTACTTCCATTTGCCAACTGCATGCCATCTTTTCTATTCTCGTTGCTGAATGTTCTACCTTTTTGTTGGTATCATTGAGATGTCAACTACAGAACACTTAATGGCGACAAATTTATCATACTGCTGGCATTTAGTTTTCCTTTTTGCCTTCTCCACGACGATCTGTGGAATCTCTAAAGCTTTGTTGTCTTTCTGGATTCTTGGATTCTTGGATAATTAAGATTATAAGTCACTGAACAAAATTAGCATTAATTACGAAAAACTAAAAAAGTGAACGTAATAAAAAATCTTTGATAGTGTGAAAATTAATTAAACTACTTTGTTTATTAGGGCGACAGTGGTGGACCATTACATATAAAAAAAGGACGAATACATCAGATTGCTGGTAAGTTTTTCAAAATAACAGAAATTGATTCAAAATTGTAATATTTTGTTTAGGATAAAATGTAATATTTAATGCTTCCCTTTGGTTGAATAAAGGAGTAGTTTCCTGGGGTGAAGGATGTGCTCAACCCAATTATCCTGGAGTTTACGCAAGAGTTAATCGTTATTTGACATGGATAGATCGCAACACAGCTGATGCCTGTTATTGTTCACTGTAAAATCTTTATCATAATTACTTAATTTATTCTTGACTAAGAAGTTAATTATAATTGCTGTAGAATTTTTTATATTATAATATTTAATGCCATATTTATAATAAAATATTTATTTATCTTTGTTGAATTGAGTTATTAATAATAATTATTATCTGGAATTAGGTTAATTTGTAATTAAAAGTTCATATTAATTAGTAGAAATTTTTATTTTATTTTTATTTTATTTATCAGTAATACTTATTATCAATATTTATTAGTAACGTTTCAAAACAACATTTTATTACTAATATTTATAATCGATAAATTCTAATTGTCGTATTTGTCAAACGAAACGATGAAAAAAAATTGACATAATTTTTTTTTACTTTTTGCATGATATGTATTTGTAATTATAGGGTCAAAAGAAAATTATACTCTGTTGAAAATTATTTTCTTTTCAAAATTTCAGCCAATTCGTTTGATAATTTCCGATAAAAATAAAAATAGCTGCATAGGGGTGAAACAATAGAACGGGCAAAACAATTGTTTTAATTGTAAATAGTTAAAACCAGAAGTACTTTTAAAGAATTCTTTAATTTACAGTAAATATTTGTACAATTGAGATAAAAAGGAGTGGATTTCTATCTAAAATTTTGCGCTGATACATAATTTTGAAAATTAAGGCACGCGTCACAATAGATTGAATTAGGCCTAGAATTCCTAAAAAGTATATAATTTGAAACGAAATTTTCCTCTAATTATTGTAATTACAAATAAAATTTTTAGGCCTCGTTTATTTTTTTGATTGAGTATTTTAATACTGATTGTGTACATTCAGAAGAATTTAATCGACATAATATTTTCGTGATCCTAAAATTGAAATCAAAAGTCCTGACAAAATAAAAAGATTTAAAAAGTTTAGCAGTAAGGGAGCGTTCACGAATGATGTCACGCAATTTTTGGAGATTTTCGACCCCCCCCCCTCCCCCCTGTCACGAAATTTTTGCAATTTCACATGAGAAAAATACATTGTGTCACGACCCCCCCCCCCTACCCCCAAAAGCGTGACATCATTTGTGAACGCTCCCTAATGTATTAAACTAAACTGTTAAAATTAAATAATTATTAATGTAAATAATAATGTTTAAAATAAAGTTTTCAGCAACATTTTTGTATTATTATTTCTTTTATAATTAAATTAAAAAGAAATAATAATACAAAAATATTGCCGTTCTACAATTTCAAGTGAAACTAAATTTTTTTGTTTTTAGGATCACGTAAACGCGGAATTTGAACTACGATGTGTACGTGTTTATTAGACTTAACCGTTATCTAAGATTTAAGGGCATTTGAACCTTGATGACGTCACACATGCTTTGCACAAACTGTAACGTCATCAAGGTTCAAATGCCCTTAATATAAAACTTTGGTGTTCTATCTAGTCAAATAAAATTTGCTGAATTTAAAAAATTTAGCAAAACTGTTCGTTTTACAGTTTATTCATTTTATGAACCACTTAACTTTATGCATTAAAATTTGAAACTTTTTATTATTACTCTATACATTTTACAGTGAATTAAATTCTTTTTAATTTTCATATTTTTTTTTAATAATTTTTATTAATCAGATTTAAATTATTCACATTCAAGAACTAGTTTCAATTGTGATAAAAATACCAAAATAATGTTTGCAATTCCAAGATTTCATTTTTAAAAAATTCCATTTTGACTTTGAGTTCGCTTTGAGTCAAAATGAAATTCAAAGTGAAAATGAAAATCAAAATAGAAGTCAAAGTCGAGAACGAATCAAAAGTGAATGAGAAGATAATTATACGCATTCTAGACTGTGTTATTAAAATTAATAATTTATAAATAAAAAATTTTTGATTATTATTAATTAATTTTTTATAGATAAATATAATGATATGTTTTTTTTTCTAAATAAACATATTTATTTTATAAATAAAAATTCCTTAGAAATTATTTCTATATTTAGAAAAATTGATTATTTTTCTATACATATTGAAAAAGACTAGAATTTCGAAGCTATATAAAAATCGTTTTTGAAAAAAATTATTTATCTTTTGTAATATTCAATGATTATCTTTTATTGATAATTCCTCACCATTAGATGAAGATTGTCTGTGATTTTTCTCACGTAGCCAGTATGTCTCCATGTTTCCTTTACCCTAAAGATTTATATTACAATATAAATGTATGGTGGAAGGAATTAGAGGGGGAATATAACTTTTCCTTAGCTTTACCTTTACACTGACCACTCCACGTGGCTCCAAATGATATCGATCCTCTGGTAAAAGAGCTTTTGTGTCCGGGGATATGTGAACCATACCTGGCTACAGAATTAAATTATCCTTTTTTTTAGAAATATAATAAGTACTGACAAAAAAAAATTCAAAAACATTTTTAGAATGTAATTGTAATTTGTAAATTAAAAAATTGTTTTAAAAATTTGTTTGCCAAAAGTTTAGAAATGAATTTTTGTTTGTATTTTAAATTTGCGAAAAGAACGAACCAAACTTGTTGTTTGCATCCTCGACGCTGTGTTAACAGTATCGCCGAAAAAACAATATCTGGGTACTTTAATTCCAACAACACCAGCCACTGCAGGTCCGGAATGAATTCCTGCAAAGAGAAACATCCCATTTACAGGTTCAACACGTATCTTACAGTGTAGTGTGTATATGAAGACGCTTAATCTGCCCAAGCTTTCCTTTTCCTCTTTCTCACTTCCCCCATGGGGGAAAGACATTTTTCAGGATCGATCATGAAAAAGTTTCAGACAACACTGTAGTCTTATTAAACTTATACAATCTAGTCTAATTTATCGCAATTCTATAGTATTTGAAAAAATTTATTTATTTCCTATAAGAAATGTTTAGTTTATCAAAACTCTTTTTCTAAAAAAGACGTTTTAAAAACGAATTTCAAAGAGTAATATCTATTTGTTTTGTTTGTTATTGTCTAATAAATCTTTTGTGGATTTTTTATACTAGAACTCTTTTTTTTTGAAATTTTTTTTGTAACTTTTGTATTTCAAATATTGAAGAATTACCTATTCGAATGTGAATATCGAGGCCAGATGGTAGTTTTATAGAGCGAACGTTGTTGAGTAGTTCAATGGATACATCCGCAGCATTTCTTGCATGATCCTCTGTTCTGTCTGGCGCTCCACTGGCAGCCATGTACACCCGACCAATTGTCTCCACCTGTTAAAACAAGTTTCGTCTCATAAAATCCCTTCAAATATTTCCAATTATCGAGAGAATAAACAAATAATTTACTTTATAAACTTTGAATTTGTCCATTAAAGAATCGAAGCAGGAGAAAACAGCATTCATTGAAGTGACAATGTCCATTGCACCCTCAATTGTCGAGTAATCAAATTCGCACAGTTCGCAGAAAATTACAGTTATCGATTCAAAGGACTGAAATATTAGAAATATTATATATCTGAAAGTATTGACAGAATAGAAAAAAAAGAAGGTTTATATTCTTTAGAAGAAAAAGATTGAAAGCAAATAAATAAATATAGTTCCACCTCACAAGTGCTTAAGGGACTTGCCCCAGCTCGTAAACGGTCAGCAACAGTTTGAGGGATCATCGAATACAAAAGTTCGTCGCTCTTATTTTTCCAACGATCCAAAAGGGCGTAACTATTCTCTAATTCCTGTGATCTTTGCTCAGCTCTCTCAAACATCATTTCTAATCTAAAGAAAACAAAATAATTTCGATTATTTTCTTTTCTCTCTAGTATAGGAAATCTTTTTTATAAAAGTGAGAGAAATGAAAAATATCAATCAAAACTTCATTTATAATGGACAATGAATAAGCAACTACAGAAGCAGTAAAAAAAAGAGTATATAGCAAAGGAAATAAAGAGGGGAAAATAACGAATATTAACATCAAACACAAAAGAAGCTACAGCAAGGGATATAAAAAAGAGGAGAAAAATAAAACATGAAAACTGGAAATTTATCTCTCAATTTATATTCAGATAACATTTATATAAGTAAATTTTTTTTTCTTATAAATAAATATCTTAAATAATATCCAAATAAAGTAACAAATCTATTTTTAATTATAGAAAGTGAATTTATCATTCGGCAGTTAAATATTAAAGGAGAAGAAGCTATCAATAATCCGAATCAAATTTTTACATACAAATTAAATATCTTAAATAAATCTCTATAAGTTCATGGATTTCATATGTATCGACAGCACAGCTGCCCGAATACAGAAACCTGCTTAATCTGAAAAATATTTTCGAAATTATTAATTAATTTCGAAAATATTTTTCAGATTAAGCAGGTTTCTGTATTCGGGCAGCTGTGCTGTCGATCTATTTTTAATTTCTAGATCAAATTTATAAACTTTAGATGGTTTTTTTTCCATTTTTGGTTAGTATAACACCGTCCGACACGGTTTTTCACAAGCAAAAAAATCAAACATTTTCGCAAACTCAGACAAAAAAATTACCCGTGTCTAGCCGTTTTGATAGATCAAGTCGTTTGTGGCTTCTAGGGGTTTCTAGAGTCGCTGATTACGAATCCGATGTCATATTTTCAAAATTCAAAATGGCGGATCCAATATGGCGGACAACTTTTTTAAAAATAGATTCAATTTGCCAGAAACAGACAGATTTTTAATATTATTACTTATTATAAAATATTAATTCTAAATATCCCGACATCAGATTCGTAATCAGTGACCTTTAAAAATCCCCAAGTAACTAGTTTCAGGCAGATTTGGCGATTATTTAGAAAATGTGTCCACTATTTTAGATCCGCCATTTTAAATTTTAATATTCTGACATCAGATTCGTAATCAGCGACCCTACAAACCCCCGAGTAACGAGTTTCAGGCAATGTGAATCTATTTTTAAAAAAGTTGTCCGCCATATTGGATCCGCCATTTTGAATTTTGAAAAAATGACATCGGATTCGTAATCAGCGACCCTAGAAACCCCCGAGTAACGAGTTTCATGAAAAATTAAAATTTTGTAAAAGATATTTTGTCTCTTTTCATTTAAGAGTTGTTTTCACCCCCAGAAGCCACAAACGACTTGATCTATCTAAACGGCCAGACACGGGTATTTTTGTTGGTCATAGAAGAAGGAGGGTAGGAGAAACATCCCCCTCCACAGTGGTGCAAACCTGAAAGTTTAGTTTAAAAAAGGTCTACAGGCTTTATTTTTCAACCGATTTTATTAATTTTATTTCTTTCAATTACAGCTTATAAAACTTAAAAAAGCATTGTCGAACCCGATTTTTAAATTTCTATTTGTTTATATTAATTTTTTTTTTATTAAAAATTTGAATAAAAGTAACAATTTTGCAAAAAATTTGTTCTCTCTTTGATATAATCGAATATTTATTATTCAAGACCAGAAAAATTAATGTTAGGGTACTCCTTGAACAAAAAAAAATTGCAAAAGTAAAATTTTAAACATTATAAACAAATTAATTTAAGAAACATTAAAAGTTATAACTAATTATAAATTCAGACAATGGCTTCGATGGATTTTACTGAAATTTGTTACTCGGAGGTTTTCTGGGTCGCTGATTAGTGATTACGAATCTGGTGTTAGTTTTTTAAAATTCCAAATAGCGGATCCACTAAGGCGGACGTTTTTATTTAAAAAATGGTCTAATTAAAATTCGATAACTCGGGAGTTTTTGGGATAGCTGATTGAGAACGTCTAATCAGATTTTCGAAATTCAAAAATTCCTGACAATGAGTAACGAATTTCAAGCAAATTGGACCATTTTTTAAAAAACATGTCCGCCATATTGGATCCGCCATTTTTAATTTTGAAAAACTGACATCGGATTCGTAATCAGCGACCCCAATAATCCTTGAATAACGATTTTCATGCAAAAAATGTTAAGTAAAAAAAACCTCGAGAATTCGTGTTTTTTATTAATTAACTAACTGTAATTTGTTTATTTTTAAATTTACATTTTTTCTAGTGCACCGCTTGAAAGGGTGTAGTTAAAAACTTGAAAGGTTATAGTTCCTGAACTATAAGAAATGTCTATCGTTATATAACAAGTGTTACGTATATAACTATTAACATAAACTTTTCTTATTGTGCCTTACTATTTAAAAATATTGCCGAACTTTAATTTTTAATTTAATTTCTTGAATGTGTAGTTTTCGTGTAAGCTAGGATTTTTAAGATCCATTAATATTTTAAAAAGTTATAAACAATTTAGGTTGCAAAATTATGGTCGACAAATTCAAAAGTCTGTCATTCGGTTATTTTTCAATAAATATTTCTGATTCTAGTTTACACAATAGCCAAAATGTATTTTATTGTAAAAAAATGTTATGTAATAAATTTTTTTTTACTTTAAAAAAAATCTTTGAAAAAAAACTTAAAATCAGTGTAATCTTCCCTTAAGTGTAGCTCCATAAGCAAAGGTAAATATAATTTTACTTTACAAACCAGTGATTAAAATGATTTATAAATTGATAAAACGATTCAATTCAGATTGTAAAATATTAGCAGAAACTCAGTTGAATAATAGCATTTGTGGAATAATTGTTCTCATTTTGTTTCCCATTTACCGTATGTCCGACAATGATTTATCGCATAAAACACATTTATGGATATAATTACCTTCCACAATGTTGCCACCCAGCAAGAACTAATTCTCTGCTTAGCCCGTGAGGATTAAGATCATTAAGATACAGCCCCATACTAAGAAGTTCGTCTAAGCTGTTAATTCTAGAGAAGAATTACGTACAAATATATTATATAAATGTTTTTTGTTAATATTATTTCTTTTATTTATTCAATAAAACTAATTGAATTTGAAATGTTGAAAGGTGCTAATAATGTTGATTTTGTACGAAAAATAGTTGTTAATGACTTACAGTGGACTGCAGAGGAAAATTATAGACTTGATATCTTCTATATATCTCATTTGTCCCTTTAGTAATATACTACGTGATCCCTGACTCCCCCTTCTGTCTAATCCGCTGCTTGTACTAGGAACTTCACTATTTGTTGAACTCAAATTATTTTCCGTTGACCTTATCAACTCGAGTTCAAACATTACCGAATGTAGATAGATCAACTAGTTGAACATATTTTTTTATTAGTGATTATTGGTGAAAGATTAATGGTATTTATTTATTGGTATAGTAATTATTATTATAAAAAAAGTAATAGGGTTTTTCGATGTTCATTTCCTTTTAAATCTCTTCAATATTATTTTAACGTTTATTTTAACATGGAGAGAAGAATAAGAGATTTACTAAGAGGGTGTCTAAATATTTGTTTTACCATTATGCGCTTGATTAATCACTGTGCGAGAATTAAACAGATCTCTTACGTAGTATTGTAATTATAAGAGCACTTTTAAATTCGATTTTTAGAATTGAAATAGTTTAACCATATCTCTAAATGTAATATAAAGATCACTTTTAAAATCGGTTAGTTTATAATTGAAATAAAGGTTTTTAATAAAGGGGAAAAAATAAACTTACATTTCCCCAAGTGAATGTAATGCCTTTTGGTCTACGTAGCTTGAAAATTTCTGTGACTGGTTTATTTAAAATAGATGAATTTCCACCCCAGGCTTGTAAAAGCTTTCCGCCAACTCCCTGTATACACATATCGCGATTCAACACCACACCGAAGGGAAATAATCGCAGCAACACTGAACATGGAACTGGGGATAATTCTCGACCAATTGGCGCTCGCATTTTGGTATTTTTTGCCACCTATCAGCAAAAGTTAAAATAAAAATCAACATAAATTTTCCTCCACTATCTGATTATACTTTTTCATTCTAAGCTGAGTCATTTATTTTCCTTATAAATTTAATTTGAAAGAAAAATTGTTTCATTTCTTTTCATGTGAATTTTTATATGTTAGTTTGAATGGAACGTATATGAATAAATCCTTAAAATTCATTAGTTTCAGTTTTCATTTACGATGGTTTTACTGAATAGTCTAGCAAATAATTATGTAATATCTCTCTGATCTGCAAATAGAACTGCCAAATTGAATGATTGTTCAGCTTCTACTCTCGTTGCAAATTTAATATTTTGTTGAACTACATGAAATTAATTTTTAAGCTTGTATTAAATTGTATACAATTCTAATTCTAATTTCTAATTCTAATTTTCGCAGTTGATTCACTAATATATTAGTGAATCAACTGCGAAAATTAGAATTCAAAATTTAAAGAGATTTAGACAACGAAATAAGTAATGTTTGAAACTTTTACAACGGGTATAAATATAGTTGATTATATAGTTATATATTTTCATCAAATATATGAATTCAGGATTGCCACAAACATTTAATTTTGTTTTCCCTGATTTCCAGACAAAATTTTGCCTTTTTCCCTGATCCTAAAAAATATTCTGATTCACTCTAAAAATTATTAGGGGAGAGTGGGGCAAGACGGGGTACTTAAGGTTTAAAGCGCAAAAAAACGAAAATTATCGAATATATACTTTATTATTATTTTTAATTATCATCTTTGGGAATCAGTCTTTCGTAAAAAAGGCGTACAAAGGCCATCTGTTTCTTAAAAAAGCTTATAATTAATAATATTGAAAAAATTGCAAAACTCCCCATCTTGCTCCACCGGCGGGTAAGATGGGGTACCCGTAGGGGTAAGATGGGGTACTAAAAAAACAACCTATTTCTGTCGACAAATTTTACAAGTAAAGGTTGCACCTTCATCTTCATGCATAACTGCAGTGAGCCCATTGGCCGCAGACAACAAAAGCAGGCCAGCCTTCATTTGAGTCTAAATAATAATTATTACAATAGAGACAAGGTGTATTTTCCACTTTACCATCGCTAATTGATGATTTAACCTGACAAGCTTTTTTCTTTTTGGTCACTCTTATTTTATTCAGTCTTGATTTTAGTAGTTTTCTTAACTTCTCTTATTTCTCTTTTTTTTGCTTAATTTGTGAACCCCGTCCTGCCCCACTCTCCCCTACCCCATCTTGCCCGCACCTACGAAATTGAATAAAACGATTAATTACTACAATTTACGATTCAACAAAGAAAAAAAAAACATATGCTTCCCTTCTTCTGTAACCCTTGACAGTTAGAAAAAAATTTATACAGTTCATTAACGGTTATTATTAGGTAATAAACACCTCCTAAAAAAAGTGAAAAAATGACAAGAAAATCGTCAAAAACAGTTTTTTTAGTAAAACAGATAAAAGATTTGTTCTCATGGCTTTTAGGTTTTGTAAACAAGAAACTATCGTCTCGGTGCAGTATTATGTAAAATATAATCGCGATTGGTTAATTCGTTTGTTAAATAAGGCTGGTACCCCGTCTTACCCGTTACCCCGTCTTGCCCCACTCTCTAATCAAAAAAATGTTTTATTACATTTATTTACGAATTTCTTTAATTCTTTCATTATTATTTTTCCATGGGAATTAAAATGTTCAAGAATTCAAATTCAAACCTTTTTTAAATTCAACAACTTATAACCGAGTGACAAAATCATTATTTTATATTATAAGAATATTGTTACAGTAACTTTTTCAAAATCATTTTCATCATTACAATTCAATTATTATATTCTACAATTTTTAAATAAAATTCTTCTTAAAATCAATTATTATTAATAATTTTTAATAAAGTTCTTTGAGAATTTTCAAATCCATTTGTTTACAATTCAATTTTCAAAAAATTTTGATTTTTCGGAAATTCTTTAATTAAATATATGTCTACCGGTGGAAATTGTGCGAACGCTAACATCTCGAGCTATTAAAAAAACCGCACAGAAAGAGTGATAACTCCGTTAAAAATGAAGCTAGATGCTTTTTTTAAATTGCATTGAAAAGCTTATTAAATTTCCAATGAAATGACACTATTTTAAGTTGTATTGCATAAATAGGAAGCGAGATATCATGTTATGAAGACAAAAAAATAATTCTATTTTTTTCGGAATTCTTACCCCGACTTTGACTCCTGTCAAAATTTAGAAAAGTTGATGAAAAAAATTGTTACTTTCGCAGACTATTCCTTGTAACCTAAGCTTTAAATAGAGACCAAGAACAGCAAAAAATATTAACGGGTTGCCGAGATATTACAAAAAGAGTCGGACCGTGCGAAGCAATATTTTCAATCATCGATTTCTCTAATTCGCCGTTGATATTGTTTCAATCAACATGCTCCAAAAATTTGGCATAAATCGGGTTTTCTCCAACGAAGTTACAAACATTCAAAATCCCGATAAAATGAAGAATGGTTCATTTTTAAGGTAAATTTTTTTATATTTCTCAGTTGATAATCAAAAAAGTATTTAAATAATAATAAAGTGTATTTAAAATACTTATTATTTAAATAATTCTGATTTACGAAAATTAAATTACTTTGTCAAAAAAAATTGTTAAATATGATCGATTTTTGACATTTCATACAGAAACTTAAATAACATATTTTACAGTTTATTATCAATTATTTGATACTTTTATCAAGTTCAAATCACAAATTAAGTCTTTAAAAATAAATAGCAATCGCTTTTTTTATATTTCTTAAAGAGATTACTCCTTTTTTTAAATATTTTGTAATGCCTGTCAATGTAACCTTTTTTCATGTACTCTCAATTTATAATATCTTTTTTTATATGAAATGAAATTATTTTTTACAAATCATTGTGCATTTCGTAATCCCAAAACATGTAAGAATATTTTCCCGAAGTATTGAAATTTTTTATAAAGGTCAAAAATACATTAGGCGAAATAAAATGGTTTGACCCTTTTATTAAATTTTTTGAAAATAATTAAATTTTATTGCTTTTGAAAATAATTGAATTCTTGTGATGAATATTGTTATTTATGAAAATAATTAAATTTTGCAATAAATTTTATTAAAATTTCTGAATATAATTGAATTTTAGAGAAGAATTTTGATATTTATAAAGATAATTGAAATATTGACGAAAATTTTTTAAAAAATTTTTGAAAATAATTAAATTTCTGGAATTAATTTTGATATTTATTAAGATCGTTGAATTCTTTTAAAGAATTGCGTTAAAGTTTTTAAAATTAAAACTAATTTTAACAGAATTAAAATTCAAATTTTTCATCAAGATTCTTCATTTACTGAGAAAACGATTTATTTGAATCAAGCATATTTTGTTTAAATCAAATTTAAAATATCTTTGCAATACAGTCAAACATATTTAAGTTTAATTGAAACATATTTTTTGGTTCATTTAAAGAAATAATATATTTAATTCAAACATAAGTTATGGTTGATTTTAAATTATTTATAATTATAATCAACTTTTAAGTTTGAATCAAACAGAAAAATTTTAAATATAATTTTTGTTGAAATAAAACAGAAAATATGTTTGAATTAAACATAATTAGAATAGAATAGAATAGAATTTATTTTGTCTTAAAATTCAAAGAATTTATACAAAAGTAGTTTCAACTTATTTAATACATTTTCTTAACTTATAATTATATGAAAACAAATTTTTTTTTCTTTTTTAAAATTAAATTATTCTGTCTGGTTTTGGGAACGAACTTTAAGTATCTCTACAACAAAATTATAAACGCTCTTTAGCTTCTGAACATCTTCCGATGCCAGCAGATCCGTCCAAAACTCACCAGGTTTCTCTATAGCCTGTTGACTTCTAAAATATTTTAATCTAATTTCAGCATAGGCTGGACAAATTGCTAAGAAGTGAAAAAAGTCCTCTAGGACGAGCAAGTTGCAACACTCGCAGTTTTTATTACCAAATTTGGCAATTTTTCCTTGGAAGATAATTCTATAGTTCTCGAACATAAAGAAACGAAGTTGAGCAATCAGTTGTGTATAATTGATTTGAATTTTTTTATCAAGATAAGGGGCTCTTTCAGTTTCCTGTTTGAAGCTTGGATAGATCTGCAGGCGGGACGAAATTAAAAGTCTTTCTCGATCTGCGATTCGTTTGGACATCTCAAACTCTCGCAACCAGGTCTCGCTATTTATCTCTATCGAGGTCAAGGTCAGATTCTTCCATTCGTTTATTCGGTTGATTTGTTTAAAAAAATCTTCTACTAGTTTGATCCAATTAAAGGGCCTAGCGGAGTAAGCATGCAAAATCTGCCCCCGCTCAAAAAACTTTGAAATTCTTGTTACATGTTGACAACATTAAGATAAAATTTTTCACCAAATATTTTTTCAAAAAATGTATTTTTGTAAGAGTTATGGAGGGGGAAAGAAAAATCAAAAATTTGTTTTTTCTCGAAAACCACTGGATCGATTTTAATGAAATTTATATGTATTTTATAAATTCATAAGAGGAATTTAAAAAAAAATTTCAAATAATTTTGACTGAAAAAAACCCCAAAAAAAAATTTTTTGGTCTTATTTTAGAGATACTACTTTGGAATTTTTACAGAAAATTCTCCTAAATGTGAACTTTTAAGAAATATTTTTGTCGATTTTTTTAATTGGGCACCACATAGTTAAAAAAATTAAAATCCTAGGTGGCGCATCATTCCGGCTGAAGCACAATGTACCAAGTCATTTTGAATTTTGAAAATTTAATATTACATTCGTACTGAGTGACCCCAGAAACGCATAATTACTAAATTTCAAGGAAATTTAAAAATAATCAGTTACTGGATACATTGTGCTTCAGCCGGAATGATGCGCCACCTAGGATTTTAATTTTTTTAACTATGTGGTACCCAATTCAAAAAATCGACAAAAATATTTCTTAAAAGAACACATTTAGGAGAATTT